AGGGAATGATATTAGACATCATTTTCCTTTACAGCGGCTCCTAGGGAGAAAATCGGCGTGCTCAAAAGAAATTCGCAGCTTTCGCGCGGAGCAAAGACCATCATCATCAGCTTCGAACAAACATTCACTGATGGCATGGAACCAGGAAACGCGCGAAGAGCTGAAAGAAATCTTGTCCTGAGGAACTGACAGCGCGTGGTGTCTCTCCTCTCGCTATCCATCGGTGCTCTTAAGATCGCCTCATCGAGCAGATTTGGCCGGTGCTCGGTATGCGACTGCGTAAAAGAGCCATCAGTACGGGAGGCATAGGGATACGTTTGATGAAACGAGCTGGAATCATTGGACTGCGCTCAGGGATTCGTAGTGGGGAGCCCACGGTGGTATAGTTGGGAATTCTAGGGACGGCAACATAGATTTATCGAAGCCTTGCATCGGCTCCCTCAGGGAAGAGACTCGATTTCGGAAATACCGTAAATATTCTAATAGACGGGCATGCCCGTTTTCTTTTCGATCCACTCGAAGGTGCCCGTTTTTTTCTCGAACTACTTGAAGATGCCCGTTTATTAGAGACTGTCCGTCTATTTCCTGTATACCCCAGAAGATGCCCGTCTATTGGAGGGTACCCGTCTTTTAGAATACTTACGGTATATCATTCTTGCGATATCGACTCCGCGATGGTGGCGGCCGGCGAGAGCCGTCCGGGTAAACCTGGAGGTCAACGTTGGCTTGAGGGTCATGCAGAGCTTGCGCCACGAACTCATCCAGGTATCGACCATTTTCTGTCCTCTGCTGAGTGGGGAAGGGAAAGATCAGCTAGAACCTCATCGTGACGGAGGACAGGGGAGACGTCGATAGGAAGCTCGAGATCGTACATCTTATCACTCCGGGTTCCCTCTAGGAGATCGTTCGAGAGAATCGATTGGAAATTCATCTAGGAAGAGGGTTACTTAATTGGGAATTACTCACCTTAGTTTCCTCGGCCTGGATCAGCGGTGTTGTCGCTTTAGTAAGGTCAGCTTTCCCCTTACATTTGAGAAAGACCGCCTTGGTATTCTCCGGGGATGCTGATAGCGCTCGGTGTATCGGTGTTACAAAAGTGACAGAGGGCTTTCCCATAGATTTCGGTGGTAAATCGTGGTTATCGTCAATTTCCCTCACCGGTAGCCATCGCACAAATTCATCACTATGTCATCATACTGGCGGCTGCGACCTCCAACTTTTTTCACCCACAAATCGATCATGAATATCGGAAATCAGATTGGCGATCATCCTCGTCGAGTTTCCGCTCACCGTAGATTAACAACTCCATCATTCATATCATGAATATCTTAGGAATCAAGATAGACAAAAATAATTCCCGCGCTTGAACTTTGGAACTACGGAACGAAATGTTCCGAGTCAAACTTGGTTTCAAGTTTGTTCTATCATGGTAGGTCCGGTCCCCTTCCTGGGGGCAAAGGCTTGCGGCTGCAGGCCATACACCTCGGATGGGATTCTCGAGAGTCGCAAGCGTGATCTTTTGGTTCGATGATTCTCAAATACAACTCGAGTTGTGAACGATAGTTGTGCAAGGGATGTAGCGAAGGGTATCGATGAATGGGAGAGGAGCTCAGGGTCGACGGGGGAACAATCGACGCCCGCCACTGCTACGGATGAGAAACCAAAGATCAGAGCTCCTCCACATGATATAAGCAAGGTTGACATGGCCTTGGTCTCCCGAGTAGAGCGTCACGCCGAGTGAACTATCAAAGACCAGGTTCCTGAAGCGCAATCCCTGTTGTCTGGTCGTGACTCGATAGTCTTGTCTAGACTTTGCAAACAACAGCGATTCGGAATAACCGCGATTACGGTTTACCGCAAATCGGGAGAGCCCAGCCGCGTTTGAAACCGCAGATCACCGCAGTGGCTCTGAGGTCTTAAGCCAAAGACGTAGGCCGACTCGGACTGCGCAGAGATGATGGCGAGGACATCCTCACCAACGAGACTCTCGCGACCAACTCATTCCAGGGAATCACAGACTTCGAGATATGCATCCTTGTCTGATTACCTCCCCGCCCGGTACCAATTATCCGTAGACAAGCCGCGCTAATACATAGTCCCCGCATTGGAGGAGGTCTTGACTTGAAGAGTTATACGTGAATCAAAATTACTCAGCAGTCGCACGATCATCGCCTCTGGAATCAAGGTTCAATTCCTTCATGAGAATCTGAACAGAGTCATTTTCCACGAGGACAAGCTCAAGACCAAGAGCTATTCGTGTATGTGTAACGTATCACGCCCCCAGTAGAGTCAAATCACACGATTGTATGAGGAGAAACCTGTCGCAGGATGAAAATCTCCTCTTGGGTTGACGACGAGAGCCTAGCCCATTGTTCTCCCAAGGGGAAGGGCACGACAGTGAAATATCCCTACGGCTGGACGGAAGTCTGTGAGAACGCCGAAGGGACATTTCTAGGGAAAGTTGGAGGAGCGTGCCGTGGATACTTGCTTGTCTGAAGGGGTCGAGCTCCTGCCTCCATTCCTCTGTAAAACAGGCCTCCGTCTCGCTCGAAAGATCAATCACCGGCCGAGAGACAGCGAAGACCGAATCCCAAGTAACGGCCACCGGGAGGGAGAACTTCGAAGGAGAAGATGCCAGAGTATCGGGATGAGGGACACCGAAGCTGGCCCAAGACAGTCATGTGTATATATGAGAGTCGAGGAGCAAGGACGGATCAACTCAACTTCGGGGCTGCCAGCAAGTCGGTTCTTGCGAGGCGCCCTCGCATACGCCTGTCGCCACGAACGGAGAATCGAAGACGACTGGTGTCTATTACGCTGAAACGAATCCGGGGGCGATAGAATTGTCGAGAGTCTAAAACACCACGCCATCGACAGCCAGAGTATTCCGCCCCGGGTGATGCAGAGTGCTTTCGGAGGGTCCTCCGAGAACAGCGAATTTTCTCGCTCCCAGTGCCGAGTCGCTAGCTGGGGTGGTGACCAGAGCTCGGAAAGCAGCGTCAAGACAACTCGCCCTCCCTCCAAGTCGATGTGCAATCGTCATCCCGTACGAACAAACGTGGAGGAGACGACCAGCGAATACTACTGTTCGGGAGAGAGTCCGCTTCCGAATGGATCGGTTTCGTTCGCGAGATCTATGTGGACGAAATATTCAGCTTGTCACCGCATCTCTCCCTCTATCGAATATGTCGTGGTCATCCTCGTCGAGCGAGAAGGCTCTGCCCCCCCGTGTGCCACGCACTGCTTCCGAGTAAGACTCTCTCCCCAGACTTTTCCCTGTCCCTCTAGGTACTTTCTCGAGTTACAGGGCGTCATTCGCTGCTGCTTGGACTTATCTTGAACCGGTAGTATTCGTTCCTGGACCTTTAGACTCGAGAACCCCTCTTGAGTCCGCACATTTCGCAAACCCTTGGCGGGGTTGGATCGGACTCCTCGATACTCCTAACTCCGATACCTCGCTGAGCAGCTTCCCCGTGTTTTTCCGGGACCGTGTTATAGGAACTGAATCAATGAAGTGCCTCGAGTTATCCGGGTGAACAGTGAACACTTATCCGTGATGTCCTCCCCTTGGTATGAGGGGAAAATTCTTCTGTGCTATCGGGTAGTTCTGAACGACCCTGATCTTTTTCGTATGTTTCCTAAAATTGCTCAGGATGGCCTCCTCGAGTATTTCGTGGTCGGCTGGCCGATCGCCCAGTATCTAATTTCTCAGGGTTTCTGGTCCCTATACTCGCTTGGGCTTTATCCACCATGGCTTTCGGTTCCCCTCCGGCTTTCGAGATGTTCAGGTCAGTCCTCGACTCGATTTATTGAACTCAGTCAGCTGTAATCAGATGATTGTCTGATATCAATGTCCATACCCCTGAGTTCCCCGTAGGCTACCTCGTTGCATAGTACATGGAAGATGACAGCGTTCTCCCGAATAAATTGCCTTCATATTTTTCCGATGTGTGTTATTTATGACGAGCCGATTCTCGCTCGCGGATCCGAGCCAACCTCTGGAATCTTCCAGTTCTGCGAATCGCTCCATGCGCGCCTTCGAAGCACCCCCAATGAGTTCGTGCGAGTCTTCGCTGCATTCTTGGTGCAGGTACTCTGACCTGTCGTCAGACAGCTGACCATTTTGTCGTCCTCTTTTGTAGGCTACGTATACCGACACAAAAATCTATTCCGCCCCGGTTCGCGTCCCTCCTCCTCCTGGGGATATCACTCGAGCTAGATCCCTCGGATGGGGATAACAGCCCCGGCTTTCGCGGGTTTTCCTGCTTTCCCCTCGCGGTCGCTTTCGAACAACTCGTATCGAGTAATTCTAGTGGGACATTCTTCATTCATGAGCCAATTTTCATTGGCGATCATAATTCCTACCCCCCCCCCCCTCCATCCGGAGTGGAATCGGCGGGTTTCGCCGTTATCCCCGGTGAAGGGACGCCCCCGAATGTTTCGAAGGACGAGACGCTCTCTTCTGTCTTGTGTGGACCAGGTCCCCACTAGATGTAAATGTATACATAAATGTCTCTTGAAGGTCTGTGTCTGGGCACGCAGTAAAGCTTGATTTCCCATGCTGATTTTCTAGGAGCGTGATTAGCGTATCCGTCGGCTTAGCCGGTGAGCTGCGACGGCAAACTTCCGCCCGCTATCCCGCATCTATCTCCGCAGGCGAGCTTAGAATTCACTAGCTGATTGCTGGTGAGGAGACATTCCTCCTTCCAGCAGTGGACATCGCGAATCCTCATCGGAGCCAATGTGACTGAATCTCGAATCATGCACCAGATATTACATACTTGCAGCGGGACGTGTCCCCTTCTGCATTGCCCGCATTCCATGTGTGTTTGTCGATTTCTGAACAACAATGAAACTTCATCAGGGTTGACACGACGAAAACGAGCCCGGCGCTATATGACCCATTCTCAAGAGTTGCACGTCGCCCTACCCGTCCATCCATTCATTCATCCATCCGTCCGTCCCTCTCGGCTCTCGCGCGCTTCCTCCACACCGTCATCTGAACAGCTGTTCGCTCTCGAAGGTCATTAACGGTGTGAAAAGCAGCTCTGACTCCGTTCAGTGATGGAACCTCTCAGCGAGGGTTGTGATTGATTGAAGCGCAGAAAAGAGTGAGGTTCCTCAGTGCGGTAGCAGACGACAGACGTATCCCTTCCTCTCGGTAGTCATCGTCGCTAGTGGTGAAGGAGTCGGAGAACCACTGCTCGTGAGCCCACCACTAAGCCAGTCAGGCCGCTTGCAGCGCTCTGCACGTAAACAGTAGTGCAAGGTTAGACGGAGGCAGCAGAGGAGACTCAGAGAGCAACTCTGGGTCTACCACTTTCTCGACACCATCCAGAGTCTGAAGACGGAAACACTCCTAGTTCTCCATCGGCGAACATGAACAAGACCGTAGCTACGAAGGGGCTCAACCCCGGAGCTCACAAGGGAAAGGTGATAGGGGTTTTCACCTCCGGAGGAGACTCCCAAGGTATGTTACAGTGTTCTATTCTAGGCTACAGATTCAGTGCCTTCAATGGGTGGGATTCGGTGCCCACGTCCAAGAATCGATTTTCCATGAGCTTCTCTGAAGGTCACACTGTGGCTGAATGTCATTGCGGAGTCGCTGGGCCGCGCGGAGGAGTTCATTGCCCCAGACAACGTGCTGCTGTTCGACAACTTCTTCGAATTCTCGGCGAAGAGTTCTGGGAAGCCGGCGACAGACGGCTCTCGTCGGAGGCCCAGAAACGATCTTCTGCCCCAGCTGCAGACCTGGCTCGTTTGCAGGAGCAACCCATTAGGGATCATGTGATCTGATCGCGTCGCGGTCCCACATGTCAGCATCGCTTGCGTTCCGAGATGTGGTTTCGACGCCCGAAAAATTTCTATCCGGGACTCCGACAACCGCGCCGAGCTCGAGACCTGTTGCCGCACTTGGCACAAATCCGCAAGAAAGGTGTTTACAATTCATCGTGAGCGCTGCCGTGACTTGGGCGATGGTGCATTGTCTTTGCTGTCACTTGACCGGATGGGTTCATCGCCGATTGCGGCGCACATCGCCCGAATCATCCGCGGTTCGAGCGGGACGCGCGCCTGAGCGAGCGGCATTCTTTCATTCATCTCTCCCGGGATGACTTTCTTGTTCTCGGTCCCCGAATCGGACGAGAGCGTCCTCTTACAACACGACACCACAACGATGCAGTTCCGAGGGGTCGGAAGACTCATCACAGACCCGTGGGAGATGCTCCGCGGGGTAGATTGCGGCAAGAGACCGGATGGGGTTCGAAGAAGCTCGAGAGGAGTCGAAAGTCGTCGAATGCTAATTTAGTCTCCCCTTCCGTAGTATGTAGTCAGTCGATGATCCTTGACCGGGGGTTTTCGCCAACTCCGCACGGAACAACTCGATGCTCTAGATAGGACAATGTTTGGGCGTAGCATCTGGGTTCCACTATCCCAGAGCTCTTCTCATGGAAAGCATCCGTTGATTGGGAGCGGGGTGCTCTACGGAAAATGATTACGAGGACGATACCGCCGTCGGGGTGGGTCGCGCCCCCCCGACTCCGGAAGACTTCTCGATCGGCAGCCAACAATTAGCTCGCGAGAATAATTACGGCGAATCTTGATTCAAGGTATGAATGCCGCAGTCCGTGCAGTTGTCCGCATGGGATTGTACTTGGGTGCCCGAGTTTTCTTCATTCGAGAAGGATATCAGGGAATGGTCGATGGCGGAGCCATGATCGAGGAGGCCACTTGGGTGTCAGTCTCGGGAATTATCCATAAAGGTAAGGTGTCATATCTCGCACTCGACGCCAAGGTCTGCCACCTTAAGCTCCGTATAGTCCAGAGTGTTGATTGTTTGTTCCTCTTATCTCCACTGTCGTTGTCCCAAAAACACAGGTGGCACCATTATTGGTTCTGCTCGATGCAAGGACTTCCGCGAGCGGCAAGGACGTTTGCGAGCGGCTCATAATCTAATCAAGCATGGGATAACAAATCTGGTGGTTATCGGAGGAGACGGATCACTAACGGGAGCGGATCTCTTCCGTCGGGAGTGGTCATCAATCCTAGATGAACTCTTGGAAATCGGAAAAATTACACCGGATGAACGCAAGAAGTACTCCCATCTCAACATTGTGGGCATGGTCGGCTCTATCGACAACGACTTTTGCGGAACAGATATGACAATCGGTACGTTCACCGCTATGTCGCATACGGGTGCTTGCCATTGCCCAATACGATGGCTCTCATTCATCTTCGGAGTCTCCATCCGCATTTCAGGCACGGATTCGGCTCTGCACCGTATTCTGGAAGCTGTCGACGCGATCGTCACCACGGCATCGTCTCATCAGAGAACGTTCATCCTCGAAGTTATGGGACGGCATTGTGGATATTTGGCCCTGGTCGCAGCTCTCGCCTCTGAGGCTGATTTTGTTTTTATCCCCGAATGGCCTCCCGAGGGTAATTGGCAGGAGATCCTGTGTACGAAACTCCTCCGAGAACGAGAAGGGGGCCAACGATTGAACATCATCATCGTCGCGGGTGAGTTTGCTTCGATACCGAAGACATTCCGCAGCATGAACATTTGATCGATTCTCTGAATCAATGCCGAGGGAGCTCCATGTCGAAATCCGAAATCAGAACCGTGCAACGTCGGTCTCTTCTCGGGAACTTTCTTTCGCCGGCCCCTGTCATTCGCTCGGGTGACCTATGCCTAATCTGACCTCCATTCCCCAGAGGGTGCGATGGATCGGGAAGGAAAGCCCATCACGGCGGACGACGTCAAGAAAGTCGTCGTCGATCGTCTCAATCAAGACACTCGAGTCACCGTCCTCGGTCACGTACAGCGCGGAGGGTCACCATCAGCTTTCGATCGAGTTCTCGGCTGCCGAATGGGTGCCGAGGCCGTCCTCGCTCTATTCGAAGCAACGCCAGACTCCGAAGCGTATGTCGTTTCGCTCGCAGGGAATCAAGCCGTGAGAGTTCCCCTCATGCAATGCGTCGAAAAAACTAAAGAAGTCGGGAAGTGCATGGCCAATAAGGATTGGCAAAACGCCGTCAAGTTGAGGGGGACCTCTTTCGAACGCAACTTGCTCACCTATAAAATGCTGACCCGACTGAAACCACCGAAGCTCAACAATGAAGGCAAGAAGGGATTCATCATGGCCGTCATGCACGTTGGAGCCCCATGCTGCGGCATGAACGCCGCCGTCAGGTCTTTCGTACGGAACTGTCTCTATAGAGGTGATACAGTTCTGGCGATTCACGAAGGCATCGAGGGTCTCCTCGAGGAAAACATAAAACCTGTTGAATGGCACGACGTGGCCGGCTGGGTCGGTCAAGGAGGAGCGTTCTTGGGTACTAAGAGAACTCTCCCTGAAAAACAAATGCCGAGGGTCGTCGAAGTCCTGAAGAAGTTCAACATCCAAGGACTGCTGGTCGTCGGAGGCTTTGAGGGCTTCCATGCCGTTCAGCAATTGGCCGACGCGCGAGCAACTTTCCCGGAATTGTGCATTCCCATGTGCGTTGTGCCCGCAACCATATCCAATAACGTTCCTGGCACCGATTTCTCACTCGGAGCCGACACCGCGCTCAATGAAATCACTGAGATTTGCGATAGGATCCGACAATCTGCCCAAGGCACAAAACGGAGGGTGAGCTCAAATTTTCCGATCATGAAGCATGATCGCGTTCCAGACCCTGATCATTGATGGAGAGCGGGAGCTCCTTATAACCTTGATTCCCTGCAGGTATTTGTCGTGGAGACAATGGGTGGCTATTGTGGATATCTGGCGACCTTAGCTGGTCTGGCGGGTGGTGCGGATGCTGCCTATATTTTCGAGGAGAAGTTCTCAATCAAAGACCTCATGAACGATGTGATGCACATGCAGGCGAAAATGTCTGAAGGAGTCTCGAGAGGTCTGATACTCCGCAACGAAAAAGCAAATGAGAACTACAGTACCGACTTCATCTATCGACTCTACTCGGAAGAAGGAAAAGAAATCTTCTCAACCCGCCAGAACATCCTAGGTCACATGCAGCAAGGAGGTAGCCCCTCTCCTTTCGACAGAAACTTCGGCACCAAAATGGCTTCAAAAGCAGCAAACTTCCTCGTCGAGGCACTCAACAAGGGCCCTGAGTTCTGCAAGGTACTCACTGTTGGATCGATATTTCGTGGCATTCCGAGATTTCAATCCCTCTATACAGTCCGGAGATGCATCTGCCGCGAAATTTCGAAACTCATTGGATCATTAAATATTTGCAGACACCGGAATCGGCGGTGCTTCTGGGACTGGTCAAGCGTCAATACCGCTTCACACCGATCCAGGACCTGAAAAAAGACACCGATTTCAAGTGAGTTTTGCCTCTGATCTTTTTTTAACAGCCTAACATGATTTCGTTGTAAGCATGCTTTGTCTACGGGGCTCCGGTTCCTTTGCTGGACCGCGCCTGCGGTCCTTCATATACCTAATCCCTCCCTTGGATCGGGTCCGCCACGAGGAACCAGCACTCGTGCCTCCGATTCCGTTCATTTAGCTGATGCGAGCTCCGGGAGGGTTTTTTTCTTGGGTTTTTCATCTGGCAGAGCTAGTTGTGTGGTCTAACACGAGCTCTTTTTGGCCTTATGGACTTAGACTTAACGGTTCTGGTTTGGGTTCACTCTGATAGCGACGATATTATAGCGCGGTCCGCTTTTGTCGACTTTAATTTGCCCACGGCGCCTTGACTCCGGCATGACCCGTCAGACAATCCGCTGCTTGCTTTGGTGCCAACCACACTCACTGCTTCCAATTATCGGTGAGCCTGAGCCTGATTCGCATGTTTTCTCCTAAACACTGCCGACCTGAGTCGGATCAGGAACGAACAGTAAAGAGCTGTTTCTCAGGACTCGTCTGCCAATCGACCAATGGTGGCTGTGTCTCCGGCCTCTTCTCTACACACTGGCGACGTCGGTTGCCTACCTGGAAAAATCAGCCGACGAACGCAAGAGAGCCGCGCTCTGCTTCAGTCAATCGATCGCAGAAGACATTGCGGAAGCACTTTACACCGAAACGTGCAACTAGAATGATCCTCAGAGCCCAGTGGTCGGTGCTTAGTGGAGGGAGTTTTCGCGATTCCCAGCCATCAGAATCTCTCCGACACGAACACTTCCAGCTAGCTTAATCACTTCGGAAGTGGCGAGAAACCGATATGATGAGTGGACAATAATTACCCTCGGCGATATTTAACTAATTTAGATTGAACCCCTTCGGGCGAGATCCACATCAGGATCGACTCAGAAACTAGAACTCGAATTCGATGGCAGAATAGATTCGCTTCTGTAGAGTGGTTTCACTTGTTACTGATGGAATTACACTCTGTAATGAAGTGCTTTCAAGAAGTGAACACAGATTGGACACTGAGATTATTATTATAATACGGCAGCGATGGTCGTTACGCCACTGGCCATGTGCGTGAAGTGCGTTTGTTATTTCTTGGGGTGAGTAAGTTCCGGAGGAGTGAGCTATTTGAGGATGTCTCTGATCTGAGGACTCGCTTTCGGTTAGAAGGAAATTGCGGCTATCGCCAGTCGACTTCTTGTTGGGGTCACTCCTCCCCAATTCGACATACCAGAGGAATAAATTGATCTTACGTTGGGAAGATGTATTCTCTCTCTATCCTTGCTAGACTTCTACCTGGTCGGTCTCGGATGAGATTCTGCGAGGCGGCCATCTATTGGGATACTGGCCGTCACCTGGGTGGCTGCAAGTCATTGTCGCCGAGGACCGTTTCTGGGCTTTCGCTACTTCGAATTCGCGATGAGATGGGGAATATCTTTCGAGAGAGCTAACTAAATGTTTCATACGATCACTGCCCTTCACAGATACCGCGTCTGGATCCAGAAGCCATGGTGGAAGAAGTTGAGACCCGTAGCACGAATCCTCGCTCGACACACAGTGGATTTCTGGAAGCCAGAGCAAGCTTCTATAGCTTCCCTTCACGAAGTCTACCGTGCGGACACTGTCTGAGTTATGAAGCAAATCATAAAATAAATATTTGTTCGTTACCTTTAAGACTGGATTGGCCGTTTGACTGAATCGCGAAATCCCGCGCACGCTTTCAAGTTCCTCCAGCTCGATGAGTCGTGCAGCGGATCCGGTCGCGCACACCATCGAGCCTCACTAATCCCGCCACATCGATAGATATCGGTCCGCACCCTCCGAAGGAGTGAGAGGAAGGTCTCAACACCGGAGACCTGAACAGCGGTCAACTTCCGCCGTAAGGTCCTGGGAGCATTCTTGCAGGAGTACCGCATTGCAAACGATTCAAGGAACTCCCAAGGGGAGAACGGTCGTCGAATGATACGATACAGGTCCCGCCGTCCTGCCTCATCTCTGCGGGGATCTCAGGGAGGGAGCGCGGCATGTCGCATCGCCGAAATCGGCCACCATTCTCAGTCTCCCCTGTTCCGCGTCGATGTCAGGCGCTATGAATTGATGCAGCTGAGATGCAAGCATTTCGCGGAATTTTTTTAACAAGTGAATTTTATTCAAGAAGATCACGACGACCGGGAGGTCGCCATATTTTCACAGATTATAGACATTTTGCCGAATCATCGCGAATATTTGTATGGGCACAGCGTCGAGTTTACTCTCTTTCTGAGATCGAATGCATCTTACGCACGAAGGAGTCAGCTTTCGGAATGAATGTTCTTCTTGTAATAATAATAATAATGATAATAGGATAGATATGCGGGTGAGTAATCACGAAAGCTGACAAACTCCGATATTCATCTTTGGCTCCCTCTCCGGACAATTCATGGGGCACGAGTGAAACTTCGACGCTGGGCGCATACACTATAGTCCGAATGGAAATCTGGTTGTTCATCGGGGTTCTAATCAGAATCGTCGGCCAAGTTAAGGAGGTGGCCTGAGTGTCTGAACATCACCTCGAACTCGTCGCACTGGTGGCATGCGTCGTCTTTCTGGAAAAGGTCTCGCTCGCGGACGAAATTACGGATTTGCGAAAGCAGTTCGGCGCCCTCGCCGGGCAGCTCTAAGCCGCACACCTGTTGGAACAATTCCTTGGGTGCGGGCACGTTCTCTAAGCCGCTTCTGCGGAAAAACTCGGTGATGTTCGTGCAGTCGCGCAAGAGGAATTCGAGCGCATTCGGATGCAGCCTGTCCACCGCCTGGGATACGTCAATGACCCATATGTTACCGAGATGCCAGAGAATGTTGTACTCCGAGAAGTCGGCGTGGACGAGTTTGCAGATCTGATAGAGTTTCTTTATCACGTCGCAACATTGGATAAGGGCTTCCTTGAGCTGTTCGCGGTTCAGGTTAGCGTCCCGCAGCTTCGGAGCAGGTTTCCCCGCGAACCCGATGAAAGTCATGACCAAGACATGTTTGCGCAGGATGACAGCTTGGGGACAGTTTATGCCGGCGCGGTGGATCTTCTTCAAGTTGAAGAGTTCTTTCTCAGCCCAGACGAGAAGAGTTTTGCGATCGTTGAGTTTCCCGACACGATCTTTGAAGCGGAAATCGTCTTTGATATATTCGGCGCGATTCTTGAACTCATTGAGTGTGGTCTTGAAAACTTTAATGGCGCATTCCTTGGGGACGTTGAACTCCGTGGTACTTCCACCCTGAGCGTGGAAAACCGTGGACTCCTTGCCGGTGGAAATGCAACCGTTGAGCATTTCCAGGATGTCGCGATTGATCAGCTTGAAAATCAGGAGACGGGTCGCCGCGTCCATCGTCTGTTCGGCCGTTGCTTTTTCTTTTTTGTCGTGCAGACGTGACGCTCGACGCTCCTCCATCTTGGAGTGGACTGCAGAATGGAGGAATAATTAATATGGTCAAGGTACGAACACAGCCAGCACAGAATTCCATATCGTACGCAATCGATTAATTCGCCTACCTCGGAGCGAGTTATAGACGCTGTTGTTGAGTTTCATGTCGAAACCGGCGCCGTCACCCGTCGCGATTGATGATGTAAGCTCCATGACTTTGCAAGCGTGTTTCCGTCCACACATGTCAGCATCGTGTTTCGTTTTGATCGTACCATCCTGGTCGCGGGAGAATCCTCGAAAACCGATCGGAGGATTCGTCCGCTGTTGAGTAGCGAAACGATCGACGTCCCGAGCCTCGTCGTCGGAGTCCGAGTCCGGGGCGATCGAATCGCCATCTCTCAAGTTGCGTTCGCTGTCGCGATTCTCCACTTCGATTTTCAAGGCTTCTTCTCCGTTAGCTTCGCGATCGAACTGCTCCTGGAGCATGCGGGCCAACATGAGGTCGTCGTCGGTGTTCGGAGGCGAGTCTTGGAGGCTTGGTGACTTGTCGATGGGGATCATCGATGCTGAAATGAGCTCTTCTTTCTCGAACTCGCGTGCCAACTCCTCGCTCATAACATCTGTGAGAGGCAGAAGAGAATCAATACGGAACCTGGAGTACGGGAGTCTCAATTCCGACTTCCCGCGGCACAGCTCGGAACGTTCTCATATCCGAACACAAACGCGCTCGAGGCGAAGGTAGTCACCGTTTAGAATCGGACAGAATTGTCCCGAGCCTGAGGGGAATTTTTCTATCCAAGTCATTGGGAGGAATAGATGAGATCAGAAACTGTGCGTTTTCCACCAAAATCGGTGCTCCCACGAATGTAATCTGAAGCAATGACGGAGCCACGGCACAGCCACCGACTATACTAGCGATTCGACTTTGTCCCACTGGATGGCTTACCGCAGCAAGGACCCTACTTGTCTGGGCAGAGCTCGCTCATGGCGAAAACGACGACCACAAGGAAGAGAAATGCTCCGGTACCGAGCCAAGTCGAGTTTGGTTAGGAGTTTCCACCCCCTGGATTGAGATCCCCTGCCTATGACCGGCGGAAATACACATTTGGGGGAACCCGTCGGCAAAATCGCATGGGAATCGACCGTCAAGACCGGAGGGCCCGGGGAGCTTGCTTCGCCATCGCGTCGTCCCAAGCTTCCAACTCACCGTCAAAGAGAGCCGCCGCTGGCTGGGGTAGCTTCCCCCAGGGGCATCCAGAACTTGTCATGCCGAATTTTGTTGGTTTCCTCTCCGTCAATTTCGTCGTTGCCTCTCCTCAGATTTTCCCGATTGTTGGATTTCAAACGCGGCCACACAGTCTTCCTGATCTCGAGGTGTTGCGTCGAAGTTGATTTTTTAGATTTATCGGGTCGATTGAACAAGAAAAACTTTAATCACGATTTAATATTGCAGATCTAACACCAGATTTCCACTTGAAAAAAATTTAGCGACACGGAATTGAATAAATATGGTGGGACAAAGCCCAAAAGATTTGCATTTATGCGGCCATTGCGGAAGGTTTTAGGGTATAAGCTATATATAATATATAGCTTAAAATACGCTGGTGTGCGCGTTTGAGGCCGCAATAAGCTTAAAAAAACTCGCAAAGCGATCGGACGAACACGTTCAGCCGCCGAGCTTCAGCTCGATGTGGCGTGATACGAGCAGAGCAGCCAGCTCGTTGCAACAAAGCTGTCGGCTGCTGATGGAACTGCGCGCGACGATTCCCCCGCCCACGGTTCGTCGGTCCCTCAGTTTCTGCACAGCAAATGTCTTGAGACATCGGTGATTCTGCATTGCATCCGAGCAGATTCATGAGTCTCTCGCATTGGCCGTGAATCAATTCACTCAAGCTTCGAGGGGATAAACATGCGGTAAAGGAATTCAAACCGATCAAACGCGCGAACTCCAAACTCCGGATGATGGGAGAATGAGCTGTCGCTTCCGTACAAAGCGAGTTTTGATGGTCATCTTCCGGACTGAATCGATTATTGTCGACGTGAATGGTCACAACGACTTATTTTCAGCCTTTGACTATCCGGGAGATCTCACACGGAAGAACTCAACCTTTACCCTCGTGTAGTCATGTGCTCTTGGCCAGTGGCAAACCGCCGATGATTTTTGATTAATTGATTACTACTCTTGCATATATTTACTGCAGCTCTATCGCTCTTGCGGGTCCTCCCGCTAGAAATACTACACACGGCTCGACTCCGCGAAGCTGTTGAGGCTACCCCTCGCCGCAAGGAACCCAAAATCTTATACGCGGAATCGAATCGCCAGGAAGGCTTGTGAGGGACGACGCACTTCCGGGGAAGAGCGCGGAAAGAAACTGAGGATACAGCGCGTATCATCGGAATGAGTATTTGAAAACGACGCCGACGCTTCTGGAATATCCGCAATCGGGATTATTTCGACGGAACCCTTTGAAAAACCTCCCGGACCAAGACACGAATGATTAGCGTCCCGCATTTGGAAGGGAACCGTCATTGATTTTATGCTATTCGTTCTTGGTGCTCTAGGTTGCCCAACTAAACCATCAGGGGAGTAAGGAAGTAAGTGACGATGAGAGAGTATCAAGGAAGCTAGGGATCAGTGGAGGCCCTCACGAGGTAGGAGCTTCGTCGGCCCCAGTATCCATGGAGCCAGCGTCTGCAGCGGGAGTTCAGTGAGATCTGTCGAGTCGGGGCAATTCGTGCGCTCAAGGAATCGAGTCGGCAAATCGTGGCATGTCGAGGCAAGACGCGGCAATTGTCGCGAAGTTTCCGCTTGCCGCGACTAATCTACATCTCCATTCACCAATGACGGTACAAAATGTGAAAGAATTCACAAGCTTGGAGCGACCTTATATCAATATGAGGGAAGACACACTACATGCTGATTCAGACTCGACGGAAAAAGGTCTGCAGCTTCCACTGCGTGGAGTCTACGATCGACGGAGTCAGCTGCGAGCTGCGATGTTCGACCCAATCAATGTTATCCTCTCATCATCTATGGTAACATCCACCCGCTGTTGGGCTTGCGAGCTGATATCCTGCAAGTCACATGAGATCGTGACCATCATCGTGACCACGACCCCAAAGCTGTCGTACTCAAGCAATATGGTGAGGACTGCCCACCGAGAGCAATTTCAGGTGACGGGGACTTTCTGTAGCCTTGTCATCGTAGGACTTCAGGGAGGTTACTTTGTTCCCTCAGTTTTCGCCAAGAATTCATTCGTTCTGGAAAGAGAGCTCCGGTGTAACTTTCGACTTATTTGCATTTGCTCAATTGCGATCGAGAGTCGCCTTGGTTCCGACTTGACTCCCGATGATGAGCCCGTAAATGCAGTTCTCATCGGTGTCGACGCTTTCGTTGCAGTATTGAAAGGAGCTGACGTCTAGGTAAGACCCTTCGACGTTTATTCCTTGAAAATGAGAAGCGAGCGTAGCGGGATGGTCATCCATTTTGAGCATCAGATCAACCGCCTGGGAAAACACGAGAGAGTTTGGCGTCACCTCAGAGCGTTGTCTTAGCGCTCACAGAGTATGTTATCGACGCAGAGAGTGACAGTTGGCGTCCATTGAATGAACGAAATAAGACATTGTACCGGTCACCACGAACGCGACTGAGTGAGATGTGGGAGAAATTTTATTGTAGGCAGCACATGGAGTGCCACCGGGCGGAATTTTCCGGTATCCCGGGAGAACTGAGGGACGCCGCGTTCCTCAGTGGTACTGAATGTGTTAAAACTAAACGAAGCCTTATCGGTTCTCGTGAAATGATCCGAGCTGGGGGCTGATAGGGCTGAAGGACCGAGCAGGAAACTCGGTGACCCTAGAGATCGGCGCGTAACATTCGAGGGTTTCACATTAGGGGCTCATATGACTCTTATTCTTGTAATTCGCCCGCTCGGGTGAACCTAATTTCCGTTGTTTCGCCGACCCGCCGAAGGGCTTCTCAAGCGGATCTCTCGTGCCCTTGAGACGGCAGTGGTGGGTTACGGACGACACAGGAGTAAGGTTCTGGTTTCGACTGCAGAGATACGCCACGGATCATGGACACTTGATATTCGATATCCCTCAGATAAATAAACACGCGGACCCGAGAGAGAGGAGGAAAGTGAGCTCCGCATGCGCTAGATTCTGCATCTGGACGAGCGAAGAAGCATGATATGTGCAGCGGACGAACACTGTCTCTAGTGCTGCCTCCTCAGCGCACTGTCCGCGGAGGTATCCGATAGAGCTCTTAATCATTTCGTTCTGGGATAGCTTGATACGCTGAATGCCAAGTTTCTATCACCCGGTTCGCAATCCTCCTGTAAAATATAATTCATCCAAGAGAGATCTCCAGTAGAGTATCTCATGTCAGCGGACTGGGTAGTCCGAACAGCGCACCATCGAGGGAGGGGGAGCACGCAACGCTTCCCATGGGAGTGAATCAAGCAATGAGGCTTGAGGAATTCGGCCGCTGAATCGCCACGGATGTTTCAATGAGCTTGCTCGGGTTCGCGGACGTTCTTTGCGAAGGTTTCCCGATCTCAGCGGACTCGTAGAGAGAACATTCGAAAAATCGCGCGCTCTCACGTTCGAATCGACGGAGTTTCGAAGTGCTGATTGGCGCTAAAAGATCCCAGAACAGTGATAGTCGAGTTTGAATTTCCACGGACATCGCGACTCGGACTTTCGACTCGATTTGTTCCCGCGATTTGTGCCGAATGACATCCCTTCCATGGTGAGTACACTTTGGGGAGTTCCGAGAGCGGCGTTCGCGGACGGACTTGTGTGAAGGAAGCCAAGCTTCGAATTCGAACTCGAACCCACCGGTTACCGAATTGGGCAGACCTTCTACCGTAACTCTTATCAGAGCAGGATTCTCGCACACTGTGTGCTCCTCTTCGTTTCGGAGCAAGTTCTGCGAAAATGATTCCTTTCCCCTCCGTGGGCTTCTAGCGATCTCGAGCTACAGCGAGAAGTTTCCACGGATCAGGCGTTGGAAATCCGACGTTATTAACGGTGTATCACAATGCGGCTCCTTCTTCCAGATGACCTCATCTAGCGATAGTATATCCGTCGCCGTGAGGGTGCGTCCGCCTAAAGATGAAAACGACGTGGAAGAATGGATGGTTCAAGACCAGGTCATCTACGCGGCTCGGCCGGAATGCCAACAGAATGTTTTCGCGTTCGATCACATACTATCCCAAGAAAAAACGAATGCCGATGTTTACGACCAGGTCGTCCATTCAATAATCACGTCAGTCATGGCCGGTTATCACGGGACGGTTTTCGCTTACGGACAAACATCGTCCGGCAAAACTCACACAATGATGGGCAACGATCAGGATCCTGGAGTGATAAAACGAGCCATCGCTCAAATATTCGATAACATTCATAAAGTGAGATAACTCTTCGAAAACGACCTAGGACCAAGAAGATGATCACAATCGTTTACATTCTAGATTATTCAGGTCCTGGTTGATTATCATAATCATCCCATGATGGCTCTCCCCATAGGCGACCGATCGAGAGTTTCTCATCCGAATCTCCTACCTGGAAATCTACAACGAGCAAATACGCGATCTGCTGAACACCTCCAGCTCAGCCAACCTCCAGATCAAAGGTCCCGACATGGCGGTGGCCGGATTGACAGAACAGGTTACGACGGATGCAGAGCAGATCTTCCACTACATGACCGAAGGCGACAAGAACCGCCATGTCGGTTGCACAAACATGAACGAGAGATCTTCTCGCTCGCACTCGATTTTCCGAATCACGATCGAATCATCGAATCGAAATTCAGAAACGAATAAAAGAGACGGGGTTCGGATCTCGCAACTGAATCTCGTCGATCTCGCCGGTTCCGAACGAGCGACTCACACGGGAGCTACGGGTACGAGGCTCCGGGAAGGTTGCCATATAAATACGTCACTGACGGCGCTCGGAATCGTGATCCGAAAATTATCGACCGGGGAAAAACACATCAATTTCCGGTGAGTTCTGCGTGGTCCATGTCGTGACGATTCGGGACTCGATTTCGGGTGGCGGGAGTTCTGCATAAATCGAGGAATTCACGCGAAAGTTTTCTTGCAGCGACTCGAAGTTGACGAGAATTCTGCAAAACTCCCTCGGAGGGAATTCCCGCACCGCGATCATCTGTAACATCTCTCCTTCGGATTACGAGACGAGCTTGTCGACTCTGAGATTCGGTTCCGATGCGAAACGCATCACGAACAAACCGGTGATCAACCAGGTTTTGGCGGAAGATGCCAGTCTGCTACGGAAACGAAACAAGGAGATCGAGTCCCTCAAAGCGCTCATCTCGGCAAGTTCTCAGTTCTTGGATATTCATCATTGGCTCGAGAGCCGATCAATTTCACGGGACGAGAGTTTTTAGAGAGTTCCTTGAGCGTCAAGTTCTGACCAAATCCCTATTCCAGAAAGTGGAAACAGGGAAAGAGCAGCAGCTCAAAGAGAAAGACGACACGATTGACAAACTGCGGAAGAAAATCGAGGGGCTGCAGAAACTCGCTATCGGCGGAGAGCTGCCATCATCGGTCTCTGATCGAAATGCTTCAGCGGTGAGTTTCAAGAGAGCCCAAGCTTCTGCAGGCTCATTCCGATATTCAGTCGTGTTAAACATTTGACTTGATCCGTCCTTGAAGTTTTGAAACGAAGGGTCTACTATCGCAGATCCAGAGTCGACGGACTGACACCCGTCGTAGAGAAACGTGGTGTCCAGGTCAAATCGCTGCCACCGCCACGCCGGCGAAATCGGCGATGCTCGACCTCACGAGCGTCCACAACGACTCGTTCATCGCGCGATACGGCGCATACAGAGAAGAGTTCGATTTTTGCACTCCCGCGAGGCCCCGGAAACGGAAGAGCGAGGAGGCATTCCCGAAGACCGAAGCGAAAACCACTCTGAGGGAAGAGGATTCCACTCGGGATGAGAACGCTCCTCCAAATCTGCGGGAAGAGCTCGAGGTAAATACGTAGGGCTCATGTGATCGGAATCGGACGGATTAAGGAATACGGATTAAGGGACTGAGCTCAAAATTCGAGGTTTCCGAGGGCGTACTTTTATTTGAACTTGCAGGAGGCTCGACTGGAGATTGAATCTCTGAGAGAGGAATTGGAGTTTTTGCGTAATGAGAAGGGCTTGTATTGTGGCGGGTCGTGCACCCCAGCAGCGAAACGAGTTTGTCTCGACTCTAGAAACGCGGCTACCCCGATTCCTGAAGCACGACCAGACCTCAGTCAGATCCCTGAAGAGGAGAGCGAACTGGAAGAAGACAGTCCCTTCGGAACGAAGCTCAAGATGTACGCGCATCCCAATTATTCGATGGAAAAACGAATTTCCGAACGTCGAGGTCGACTGCTCGGGGGCGGATCTCATCGGCGTAGAAGAGATTCATCTCTGAGGTGCTCAATAATTTCGATCTCCCCACAGCATGGCAACACCGCGTCAGAAAATCCAAGGCATGAGATTGGAAAACCGAATGCTCAAACGCACCCTCATGGTATCGAGCTCTTGCTCAACCCCTGCGCCGTCTGAGGACACGGTGATGACCCTGTGCAACAGATCGGTGCCCACGGCTCCTGAGGCGAAACCCGAAATGTCTGATGCTGCCTGCCAGTGCGAGGAGCTCAACCATGACGAGGAAGAGAGAACCGACGCTGTTCCAGAAACCCACCGGAGAATCCTCGTAGACGCTAGCACGTCGCCCGAGGCAACCATAGAAATCAGCTCGCCGGCGTTCGACACTCCGCTAAGGACACTTCAAAGAGTTTGCAGGGACTCGATACCGCTGATCGACCTCGGTACCCCCCGAGCGGTCAGAAAAACTGTCTTGACTCCTGCGCGCTGCTCTGAAGTGTCTTGGCTTGATACGGAAAATACTCCGACGCTGCTTCCCGCGAATGTTCGCGATGTCGGAATCCAAATAGAGATCTCCGAAAGTAAGACTGCGGTTCTCCGATTCGTCATTGCTATCCTCCGAAGCTGATTTATTGTTTGTAGACGCTAACTTCATTGCCAAAGTCCTACAGGTGTCCAGGAGAGACGCCGAGACTTCGATCTGTGGTTTGGCCCTGGACATCGGAGAAGCGGAAACGACCGACGAAACGTTACGAGATCAAACCGACCAGACCGAACTCGGAACTCAAACCGTCATCGTCCCTTGTGAAACCGTCGAACGAAGTGAAGTAGAGGTTCAAACGGATACGGAGCCTGTCATGAGGAAGGCTGAAAAGGCCGATGCTGAAAGTCAGGCCGAAGTGAGCACTTTTTGCTGCGAGATACAGGCGAGCGTAGCAACTTCGGATGCCGAGACCTCGGTCCCGATCATCGCGAGTGAGGATGCATCCACTCAGACATCAGATGGGAAGGTAGGAGCTCTTCTTCGATCGCGACTCAGTCCGAGCCTCGCGAAGTCGTTCGATGCTTTCCGTTTCCCCCCGGTCCTCGTCTGGCGCACAGTGATGAGCATCCACATTTTCCAGGCCACACCGCCACGATCCGCCATAAATAGATTTTCCTTCGTTACACGTTGCATGGCAAGTCCCGGCTCGGTATGTTTCGTTCGCGTCGAATTCATAGAACGTGATGTTTTCCACATGCTCCCAAAACTAGCTCGGAGAAGAGGCCTCAATTTCGACCCATCGGAATTCCAGGTGTGTCCGACGGATGTTGGTCGCGGACTGGACGCAATATTGGGTGATTCTGAGAAAGACTGTCCGAAAGTCGTGAAAACCCACGAAGTTGGGGTTCAAGTTCGTTTCGAAGAACTGTGGGTCATCAAGATGAAGCTCGAACAAGAAAAAATGGCGCGCGAAGAAGCTGAACAGAAATTGGACGATGTGTGGAAGGAACGGACTAAAGTCGTGAATACAAACGACAAATATCTCGAATACTTCAAAGCACATGGGATAGACCCGATAAGCGTCATCAAAGGCCAGGTCGCGGATACAGTCGGCTCGAGGAAAGGCAGTGAGTGTGGAGACCGCGATTTACGATATGCCATTCTTTTACCATGGAGAATTACCATCAATTTAAGACATTTCATTCGGTTGAACCCCGATTCGCTATCGACAAGAGATAAGCCCAAAACTGAGGCATCGTTCTTCTAGACTGCGCCGCAGATGATGTGGATGCGTTGAAGAAAAAATACGATGCTTTGAAGGAATTCTGCTTCCGCCATCCCGACATGTAAGATAGCCCAAATTTCGTCTTCGGCCCCCAGAAGGATCTGATGAATGCTCTGAGAAGCTGGGAATTGTCTCATCAATTTTCCGATGACCTCCGTCCCACTCCCTGTGCGTAATATTTACGGTCTTGAATAATCATTCCAGAAAAGAACGTGTGCTGAAAGATAAGGTCATTGTGCGTCATACGCCCCAGAGCAAGAATCGTATGAAAGAGAACGATGCGAAAATTCACAAGGAAACTGTGGCCGAAAGCGAAAACCTGGAACCGTCAACGTCCGGTACGTCCCGAATTTTCCGAACCCGAGCTTCGACTCCATCCGATAACCATCCCCGAAGTCCGGGAGAAGTATGACTTGTTCCCTCTTCCCCACCTTCTGTCTCGTCTTGAAAGAATCCCTACGGATCTGTGGCGCGGCTGATGAGCGCCAAAGTTCAGCCGGCCCTGGCTCCACTGAACCCCTTTGGACATTTTCTGGAGAAGGATGGGACCATGAGAATTAAATCATTTCCTCGAAGCGCAGCAGGTCGCCGAATCAGGACTGGCGACTTACCGCTCGAAACAGCGTCGATGTGCAGAAGCTGATGCAGATTTGCTCTCGGCGGTACTCCGCTCGTTTCTGAGACTCTGACCGCGGAACCGACGAGGGCTCCTGGTATCTTTCATCGACTCTCGAATTTCCCGCAGGCAATTCCAGACCCGGAGCCACTGACAGACCCTTGGCGGAGCTCCAAGATATGCAGCAATTCAAAGGAACTAAATACTTAGCCGAAGCAGACCCAGGCGAGTGTAAACCCTCGTGAGTGCTTTTGCAGATAGGAGGTACCCACGTAGTGACTCCGCCAGACTCGTCGCCGCTTAGCGATTCCGATGAAGTCCGTTCAGCGGAATCTCGAACTGGGATGTATATACAATTTGCTGGTTAATATAAGGCGATGTGTTTGTACAGAGTATGTATATCCAAGACGTGACGTGTATAAAATTGGATTTAGTGTCAAACACGATTGTTTCATTGCGCTTTCAATCATTCTCTTTTCCTGTTGCGACCCCGTTGACCTGCGTTGAGTCTCCAAGATTCTCGCTGTTCTTCCGCGTACGACCGACGCGAGGGATGCGAAGGGAATCTTTGCATCACGAATTTTATTTACAGACTTTCGGCAAGACGAGCTCTGCGAAAAGTTACATATACAGAAGATCTGAGACTTCGGACACAGCTTGATGGGAAGGTTTTCACAAATAACTCCCTCACATATACTCTGGGACACTTGATTGAGAATTTTCCGGACGATAATCCTATCGGCACCAGAAGAAAACAGACGGAAAAATCTATAAAATCCAAATGGTTTCCGTCACGATTGCCCGGTGAGGAGGATGGGGGATTCTCCTCGAAAGCTGAAACTTTTGTACAGATGCGCAGGGTCACTGACCCAACAGCATAGAAATCATCTGAAACATTTCGTTTTTCCGTTGCTTCGGGAGTTCTGGGGCTCCTCCCGTGGGACGGCATCGCGCTTCATCGACAGGAACATCTGAGAGGAAGAGCGCCCTGTGAGTGTCCGCTCTTTCTCCATAGGTTGGGGACAGCTGATGCCCGTAGGGAAACCCATACTGTTAATCTGTCATTTCTGCGTCGATCCCATCGTTGACAAGCATCATCTTCACTTACGGCAGTTGATGTCGGCTTTCTTCAGTTTTTGCTCGGTCTTACTGATTGGAGATAGCCGACCTTCCATGACTTTTTGGCGAAGTGAGGATTTGAGCTTCAGACTGAGGTCTCCGGAAGCTGGAAGCGATGTGATATCATGGAAGCAGAACTGACGGATACAAACTTTGGAGAGAGATATTGAGCGTGTTCCTGAGGGTCGCGTGATTCCCTCAGCTTACTCACCCGGTTTGCTCCCGAGTACTTCTTCAGTAGTCGCCTTCGCAGGTGGGGACTCGCTTCCTGAAAGAGAAGATGTCGTGCTCCTTTCGGACGAAGACGATTTCTGCCTCGGTCTCTGAACTCCAGGCACTACTTTACTTCTAGTTCTTTGTTCCTGTCGCTTCGCTAAGAATTGTTGGAGTTTCGCTCGCACTTCTATGGAGGCTCCGGAACCGTTCCTGAGGTAGGGATAAATTATCAGTGTGTCCCCTTTTTTCCCTGTCACGGGGCGGTATTCCTCGGCGTCGTGGATATTCTTCCAGGATAAAAGCTTCTTACTTCTTCGGTAGAACGACAATTTTGGGCGCAGGAGACGTCGATGTCTTTGGAGCATTCGTTTTAGTGGCCTTCGCTGCTATCAGGGAACGCATACGTTCCTCCTCTTCGAGTTTTCTGAGAACGTCTTTTTTGGGACATTTCGTGGCGGTCGGAGTCGAGCTCACGACGGGAGCTTCCATCTCATATTCCTGAGGGATGACGCTGACCTCTTTATCGCTCCCGTGGCCGGAGTCGCGGTCCTCGTCGCTGTGTGCTGATGAGTCGCTCCTGGTTTTGTGACTCTCCATGTACATCTGAAATCGGTCGCGCTCATGAAGCGATCTACCGAGTCACGACAAATCGACAGATGTTTCCTCCGTTGATGGCTCGGGATCTTACGCGTATTCTCTCAGAAAGGTGCTTCTCGTGCTGTTGCTGAAGATGTCGCTGTTGGAGTTGGAAGTGCTGTAGGAGGATCTGCTGTTGCATTTGTTGTTCTTGTTGGAGAACCAGAATCTGTTTCTGTAGTTCGAGCTGCACAGCGCTCACTTCTTCCCGCAAGGCAGGATCGACTACAAGCGCCCCTCCCATCAAGTATTCTTGCGTGTCAGGTCCCCCTGCAAAAGGTTTATGGAACAGAACCATGACGTAGAAATTGTGCAGCGTTCTCCCGCGAGGAATACTCCCTCCGATTACCGAGCGAGAAGACCGCACTTACGGCGTGATTCAAACGATAGTTGATCGATGTTGCTGGGGGATCTGTTGTTTCCTGAAAAAGAGAAACCAGTTCTCGGAAATTCCTACATCGCTGCGGTCATTTTCTTGGCTATATTCGTCTTCCCATTTAGGTCCCCGATTCTCCGCAACTTCGACGTGATCGATGAATGCCGAAAAACAATGATCGTTTCGTGGATTATGTCTTCATGAGGCATGCGATGGAGTCATTGTCTATTTCTTTCCTCCTCCCAGCGGGTGCGAATCTTCAAGAAAACCCCAAGTCCTAATCAAGCGAAGCCAAGTGCGAGGCAATTAGCCTCGGGTCTAGATGAGCTGGCCGCCAAGGTGCTCGATGCAGCGTATACATATTATAGAGCCCCGTGCCATTTCACTTTCTAGACTTTGAAACCGTTGGAAAAGTACAACGTTGAAGGGGTCTCGGCGACATCGCGAAGGAATCCCGGGGAGCCGTAAACCGCTCCGCGTACAGGGAAAGCGCGGTCGCGGGTGAGTCGCTGGATGCGGGTCACCAATTGTAAAGCCTTTCCAAGTTCAGACAACACGTTTCTGTTTACGTAAGTGGTTTGGTCTTGACTACTCGCAGGCAGGCAAATCTGCTGATGAACTTGGGAAATGGGGTTAGGGGTCTGCGGTGCGATCCTTTCACTGATGAAAAAAGCAACGGCGACGGATGAAGGTACCGGATGCATGGCCCTTTCTGTATTCTGTCCTCGCAGCTACATAAGCTATGAAAAGTTGGACCAGCGGGCTTAGTTCACGGAGGCCTCGGCATCTAGAATAATGCTTCTAGGGCTGACTCGTGATTCCCGCCTGAAAGGATGGTGGCTCATGGATTCCCCCAGCGGGATCCTGAGCATATGTGCTCTGTATCTCGTAGTCGTGCTCAAATTGGGTCCGGACTGGATGCGGGATCGGAAACCGCTCAATATCAAATTCCTCGTGCGTGGCTTCAATCTGCTCCAGGTGATCAGCAACTCGTACTTCGTCATCTATGGAGCGTATCTCGCGTACGGCAGAGTCGGATTCCGACTCATTTGTGAACCGTCGCACATGCGAACAGACCAGGAAAGCCTCAGATTACTGAGTTTGTATTATTTCTATTTTTTGATCCGACTCAGTGATTTTGTTGACACGTTATTCTTCGTGCTAGCGAAGAAACAGGGTCACGTGAGCTTCCTGCACGTGTATCATCATCTCTGCGTCGTGCTCAACGGCTGGATCGGATTGCGATCCGGATGGATAAACGGGGTGCTGTTCGGCATTTTCATGAACGCCTCGATCCACATCATCATGTACAGCTACTTCATGCTGGCCACTTTCCCGAAGATGAGACCCTATCTCTGGTGGAAGAAGTATCTCACGTCTGCTCAGATTATTCAGTTTCTCGTCTTCTGCTACTTCGCCACGGTGGTGGTGAAAAACAAGCACGATTGCGGCTATCCCCAAGCCATGATCTACAGTGGTATCGCCAATGTGATATTGTTACTCCTGCTCTTCAGCAAATTTTATCTCGATACGTATATTCGGAACAAGCGATCGATCAGACCGACGGTCGACAAACACGTGGATTAGTCATCCGGAGAGTCGTCGGAAGTTCCTCTATGGAAACCGAGATCCGCGGAAGCCGAGGTCCGCGAAATTCTATAGATTTTTTTTTCTGAATAAAACCCTTTGTCGGAAGTGCTAGGCGCTCTTCTTTTCCTCTTCAAGCAGCTCTACTCTCGCCCTTGGGAACTATACGACGGCGCCAGACACTTTCTTCCTCTCACGATTTTTTTCTCATCCAGGGCGGATTAACCAATGGTCCTATTCTGAAACGAATGCCAAATCAGTGCGAAAGCAATGACTCAACCAAAGGTCTTCCCAGATAGTTTGACGTTGCCGCAATGTTTCTGAATGGAGCTGAGCGAAGGCCACCGATTTCGTAAATCGGCCTTTCGGCAACTCGCTTGGAAGGAGGAGGAGAAGAAGAAGACGACATCTTACAGCGAGGTGATGTATTTTTACACCGACGGAGGCAGCCGTTACCGGTTCACCGAACCCAGCAACAACTGGAGTTGGCTGTAGTTTTTTCAGAGTGGTTCCAAGAGCTGCCTTCTGTCTATGGTTAAATTTGCGAACTTTCTGAAATCGACGACGCTGCGAAACTTTCACGCCGTAAATCGTGGCTAATTTTCTCACCTTGTTGCAATGCGCTCGCATAGAAGTCTTGTTGGTTTGAGGATGTGGCGATGAAAATTGTGGGCATGGGCGCGTGAAATGCCGAGGAAGCCCCGACTGACAGACTCATGGGGGATCCTCGGATCAGCGGATGTTGGATCGCCACCCGTGAATACTCTGTAAAGAAACAGAAAAACGTCAAAATGTGGAAGAAGCGAAATCACGGGTTTTTGGCAGTTTTCCTCGTCAGCGTCCGGCACGGATTCGCTCCAGAATTCCCTTCCTCTGCCCCTCCGATCTGAGTATATGTATGCAGACGGGGTTTCTCAATCCTGAAATTTCCTTTTGTTTCGCCCGAATAAGTAAGAGGTTCCAGATCGGCGTGACGTTGTCGCTAATTTTCATTATCAGTATCATAATTCTACGAGTCCTTTCGGTCGGATTCAGCTGACCGCTTTCCGTGTAATCCACATTCTGTGCGCTTACAGTAATCTGTGAGACGTGGAAAGTTCATGAGCGTTACTAAAGGTGACATAATCCGCCGCCGGGTCTTTCTCAACTCCTGCTGGCGGTGACTAACTGAAGTTGTCTCAACGCAAATTTCCTTTATCGGAACTCTCGGTGCCATACAAGAACTGGCACGATTTCCTCCATTTCTGTATCGGATCGTATGTATATTCTCCGAATGTCCCCAATCTATCCCCATCGGACTGGTGTGAGCGTCAGGACAATAAAGCGGATGAGTGCCCAGAAAAAAAGGATTGAGCCGGGCCGTTTGCGTCGATAGAAATCGATCGCACTTCCCGTCGTTTTAGCTCTATCCGATGAGGAAGTCCGTGAGAAGCTCGGGTGTTTTATTCAGGAGAGCCTGAACCTCCATTCTTTGATGCTCGAGCACGTACCATCCCCGGGAATCGTGCTCGAGGATATCGATCAAAGATAGAGACCTTCGTCGGGGTGTCGAACCGCTCTCGACTCTACGGCGTGACCGATGAACAAAGTGCACGTATAAAAGCTCGCCGCGGGAAAACTCTGGTGCCGGCCGGAGGCTTGAACACGGCGTGGGCACAGCTAAGCACCGAAAAACGGCGCAAGGTAACATGATGAAACGACAAACGGCTGCGACCATAGTCGGTGGCACCGGCGCGGCGGCAGGAGTCGGAGAAAGGCACGTTGGACCCAATCCTGAAGAGACATTCAGTCCGTGACTGTGTGATACCCGGACTATTACACAAACTTGCGGACACGCACACTCACACAACCCGCTCACCCGGTCAGAGGTTCTTATGCAAGGGATCGCGCTTCGGAGAGGGAAGGGGTCGGCGAGCATGACGCTATGTCTGCAAAGTTTCCTATGGCCTATGTCTCAAGCGACTCCTCGATAAGCTGTTGACGGAAAGTCTTCAACCGCGGCTGTTCAAAGAAATATCAGAGAATCAGAATTTCACAACAGCATCGCGAGAACAGCCCGCTGCGCAGGCTTCGCGACCCGCTCAGAATTTCGGAAGCGTTGCGTAATCGTCATATCCGAATATCAACAGAGTCTTGCGCCTCGTATCGTTGACCAATTCATCGGCAATGACACACTTTCCCTGATCTTGTCTTGATCCCTATCGGAACTCACGTGTCCGTTCGTGTCAGCTGTCATGACGAGCGGATTCGTGAAGTTCGTCTTTGACAAAGTTCACCATCCGGCGGACACGCGACGAGCGTCGACAGTTTCTCGACAGTTCCGCGTAGAATTCACTCGTCACGATCCCAAGATTTCCACCGTCCCGACTTCTTGACGGCAAGATGGGATCCGACCCTTGATTCCGACGGTGCTTCCCGGACGGGAACATATGGATCGTATGAGGCCGAGCTCGACCGGGATGTCGTCAGATCGCTCTGAATTGTTGAATGGGACTTTGAACTTATTAATTGGACACGGAGGACAGATGAATGACCGCTGGAAACTCATGTGCTCGAGTTCATGAATGATTAATTTCGAATTCACAACGACTTGATTGTTCAATAAACGGTAGGTCGACGTGCTCAAGCAGCGCGAGGAAGATGCTCATAATTTTGTTTTCACGTGTCTCGGGTCGTTGTTCAAGGTCCCCAGCTGACTCGCTCCGCATTCAAATATGGGGAGCTGATTGCTTTCGATCATGAGCTCTGAACAGTCACTTGGAGCTCACGTGTGCAGAGAGCTGTTGCTACTCTGTTCCAAAACTTGTCTCTTGAGCCGACTGCGTCAGAGCTCTGCTGTCACATCAGCTTTCGTCATCGGCTGAGAAATTCTTCAGCGTATATGTAGAAGTTTTGTTTGCTTTTCCACGCTTGGATCCCTTCGAAAGTGCTGCCAAGAGAAGCGATGGATTCAGAATTGCCCCACTCCCTTAGCTTCGTCACTCGCTTCCCGAGTCGCCCACGGGATTCGCGATCACGATTTACCCGAAACTAAGAGGCTCCTCAAGATGAATGAGCTTTCTATCTCTCTAACTAACGATCTTCAAATCTACTAGAATTGGATTTCCTCAGGAAGTATTTCCAACAGATCCTTGCGCAGGAGCGGGGGCCGGGGGCGGGCGCATTCTAATCCGCTATTCTTCCGCGAGATGCATCAAAGGAAACGGAATAAATGCGGAGCGGCGGGCGTTGTCAATAATTGGAGCACGTGATTCCGAGCAAAACCTTTTAGAACCGATCCGGTATATCGGTGAGTGAGAAGCAATAATAATTTATTCGACACCAGATCGCCCTATGCCACGATACGGGGTGTGACGAGTTTTTATGCGTCACCAAGAGCGGACGGCGAAAGCATCTGCCCCTTCTTGTAAAACTACGATAGCGAGGATAAGCTGCCGCCGAAGAGAGTTCCCATTGGACATTGTCCACGGATACCGTTATGGAGCGGTGAATATCATGGTTCTTATCGATACACCGTCGTGGGACGAGATCACGCAGCATTGCAGTAGCTCCAGCGAGTGGATCGCTCACTCAGGGGGCTCTGACTCAGATGGGACTGACGTTCGAAGCTCGATTCCGTAGCATATGATCTCTGTTTCGCATTCGGGGGAAATTCGCTGCATATGGCGGAGTATCCTCTCGTATGTGGATCGAATCGGATTGCAGACTTTCTCCTACTCACCATCCATTTGTAACATCGCGGTTCTCTCCCGGTGTTCGGAGTCCGATGGGTGGATTATCCTTGTTTGATTTGAGGGTGGTCGGAGTTTGATCCTCACAACACGTTTTCAGGGTAACACAACAAAGACATGCATTTCGGTACGTCGTATTAAAGCACAATTGAACTCAACAAACTTCAACAAACAACCGATGAAACGCCATACACGGGTTACGTCACAGGGTTAGCATCAAGCGACGGAGAACAACGTTAACGGAGCAATGAACATGAATTCGGTTCGGTTTCTCGGTGTCAACCTGAACAATTGAGCGGGCATTCACGGATTCGGTCTCGGATATCGTCGTAGGCGGGAAGTCGATCGAAAGGGTAAAGCTCGATTAGGTCGAGCTGGGGAGTCGATAACGAGTAGGAGTCAATCGGGGGAGCTGTCACGGCGTCAGAGTCATCTGACTGAGAGGTAGTCAAACGTTTCGAGCTTGCTTCAATTCAGACTCGGGACGGAACGGTAGTATGGGAATGCGACGATACGGTGAGGAGAACGGAGAAGGACGAAGGACGAACACTCAACAGGACATACATAGACAGACGTGACTACACGAAACACAACACGCAACACGAGATGGTTCGCGGCGCTGCTGCTACAGGGTTTCGGTCAGAAATGCGCCGCCATTCCGCCGGTGCGATTTTTCGCGCGACCGCATGCATCGAAGTAGAGGGTGAGGATGTTTTTGAAGAGGGCGAGAAGGGGCGCCCACCAGATATCGCGAGCCTCAGCTTCTCGGCAGCGTGTAAGGTGGATGGCTGCTGGTCCGCCGCTTGCCACCCGTTCACAGAGTCAAGAAGTCAAGAAAGAGATGAAACAACCGAGCAACAAACAACTGATTAAGAAACCGCCGCGGCGGCGGCAGCAGCAGCTGTTGCCGGCGGTAGTTACGTAACGGAACGAGCCACCGACCAGTAGGCTGGCTGCTGCTTCTTGCTTGGCTGCTTGGTGAGTTGCTTGCTCGCGGCCCGTCCGTCTGTCTGTCAGTCCTCACCTCCGTCGGTCGGTCGGTCTGTCGGTCCTTCCGTCGATCGTTCGTTCAAGGACACGGAATCAGAAAAAAAGAACACATGGCAACATCACGTCGACGCTGCTGCTGCTGCCATTCAGCAACTCTGCCGATCGGACCCCTGGTCGGCCGACCACCGATAGCTCGTTTCCAATGTCCGAGTTCGACCCTTCGAATGCTTATCATTAAAGACACTTCTCCGCTATCGTTGGTCATTCGGAAATCCGGATTTTAAGCGAAGTGAAAGTTTCGTTCAATATCTGGGCTGATCAGATTCGGAAGGGACACAATGCTCTTATTACGTGATCGTAGACAAGCGTCGATTATGTCCCACATAACCGCAGACATGATTGGGTGGACCCTGTATAAGGAATGCGGTCCGGTGTCCGGTACGGCCTCGGTACGGCGTATTTCCTTCGGATGGGACCCTCCTGGCAGGATATTCCCGGTCCTGTGATGCTCCTGCCAGCCGTCTCTCCAGACCGGTTCCTTTCCAGACTGCAGTTTCCCTGGATCGGAACTCGGAACGTAATTTCAAAAGTCCCACTCGATGCGATTGAGAAGCCTTAGAAGCATTGTTTGGTCACGATCAACGGATGGTGAGATATTTTTTTCGGAAGGAGCAAGGTCAAAGTATCGTTATTACGTTCAATTTCGGACGGTGGGGATGGATTACTCTCATCTTACGCGGCCGGTACCGCGGGGTTTTTCATCACCACTTTCCTCCACCTAAACTACGGTTGTGCTCATTGATTGTTGCTAAACTTCCACAATCAAAGTCAGTTATTTCTGATTTTTCCAGCAATGCGGTCAGATGAAGGAAAATCTCACGCGATGACTGCATCGCTCGGGAAGACTCGTTCCGTAATTTCTACCAAGATGTCTGGAACATTCGGAAGTATTTTTGGTCGTTTAAAGTTTGAAGCACATGGGAGATGCCTCTCGCATCGCACACCGTCGGCACTTGCATCGACCTCGAGTCGAACAATGACACAATGACGACTGGGGTTCGGAATTGCGAGATTCCGGCCACTACCGCTCCTTCTCGATTGAAAGCCTCGATTGCTGCATTTTTCTCATTCGAAACACAACTCGGGCTTCGGGGAACGTCGGGGTAGATTTCACCTATCAACTGATAGAGAGCCGAGGGATCAAAAGCGTGACATAATGAGAGCTTGATCTTTGCACGGGGTCGTGTTTTCATTATTGTATCACCGTCTCTCCCTATAAATTACAAGTCTATCGAGCATTTCGTTCAGAATTCATCAGTGGGAAGGTGTTGGGAAAAAGAAATCCGTCGCTGACTGATCTGTGTCCCGAGAGTGAGCTTCTACGGTCAAATCCGTGCTCCGTTGTAAACGGACGCGCCGTTCTTGAATACGTGCCGAGGCTTCGGATCCCAATAGGGCCACCCATGGTAGACAAGGTCGTCGTTCACCTCCACAACTTGAGGTTGGAGGGACGCCTTGATTTTCTGTGGATGTGATCGGAGGTTATCGACAAGGTTCGTCCTCCGGGCGCCGCGATAATTCTCTGCGAGGTTCCTCGAGGATCCAAAAAAAATTGCATGATTTCCCAATAAGCGGGGGAGTTTTCACTCACAGCGATGAGTCCGCTAGCGTCTGCCCTGAAGATCGCGCGCACCGCGAAGACCGGTACGATGAAGAGGACTAAGCCAAACAAACTCCAACCGACCACGTCGGCCCCTAGAGGGAACTTCCTCCCATCGCGCATGAGAGGTCTCTGGAGTGCCATCCCACCGCAGACGGTGACTGCCATGAAAGCCAATGGACTGACGGTGGCCCAACACATCCTCAGATAGACGTAGGGAATTGGGTGCAGCACCTCATCGGTGTTGTACAAGAGATTCTGACCGCCTGGAAACAATCTCCCTTAATCGAGGATTCTCAAGGGCCACACTATCAGCTCTAGAGAACAGAATTCATCATTGCGGATGATAATAATCGGCTGATAGGGATCCGTCAGACCGCTTTTGTGAGAAAACTCACCGTAGAGCCATGCCAGAGCACAGAGCTCACCGAAACATACCACAATTATACATAGGGTACTGACGTAGTAATCAACGGTTTGTAGGTAGTAGAGTCCTGCCTGAAAAATCCAGCCGGAGCCAAAATAGAAGCTAATTAAACGGGAAAGCTGTCCGAGTGAGATGGACAGACTGATTTGGGAGGCGCAATACTCATTGCAGTCCCAGATATTCCCTCAGAGATTCTCCCCTATCGGACTGCTTCCTCTCAGGGAGAATCCGCAATGGCTAGCCCGCCGTCGGGAACTCACATCGGTCACGAAAGGAATGGCCATGATAAGACACCCGCAGCAGATGAAAAGCAGGAAGAAACCTCGACCCTGCAATAAATGGCTGATATTCTCACATGAAATCTAGAATTTATCCACCATGATTCACGGCAGGTGAATTCCACTCATGACTTGCCTGGAATCGCTGTTTGATAGTCTTGCCATAGCTTTCCTCGATGGCGTGTACGACGGTGGATGTTAGGGTGTTTATGGAATCCATCGCGAGACATATGAACAAAAACCAGAACAGCACAGCCCAGAGCGGCGGGAGCGGCATCAATTTTATGACTTCAGTGTACATGACGAACACTAGACCTAAGGGGGGTGAAATCAAGCTCCAGTTCCGGACCACTGCTCTGAGATATCCGATTAGGTACTCTTCTAGATTTGACCTCCCGAGGTTTTCCCCGGTTCGTCTGCGATGTCGCTTCCCAGGTTGAGACCTGACTGACCTGGATCTTTATGGAAGAAAGAACTAGAGAGTTCTTGTTTCCAAATGACACACAGATGTCCCACGGTGCCAAACGTGACCGTTCCGACCACGAAAACTACTAATACGTTGATCAGGACGGTTATCGTCGTATCTCTCATTAGCGAGATTTGCCTCTTGTTTCGGGAGCTGACGACGTAGTTCGGTCCCAGGGTGAGCCCCATCGAGTGTATGGTTTGAGCCAAGGCGAAAACCCACAGCTTGGCGCTTTTCATTGCCTGGATCGCAAGAAGTGATTCAGAGAACGCTCCCGCGAAGGAATTCGCGGGACACGGGCGGAGTGCCCAGGGGACCGGATGGGGGTCTCCATCCCCCTCCATATCGCCCTTCACGCTTACTCGGTCGAAAACATCGCGTTCCCAGTAATGAAGGTGATAGAGAGGTGCACCTGAAGGTTTGGCGTGAAGAAGTAGTGGATCCCGTCATAAGAGCCCTCCAAAAGAAGGACTCGGAAGAGGAAGGCAGCGAAGATGAAGAAAGGAATGATCGAAAGGACGTATTTGATTTTCTCGCTGAAGAAGCTCTTCTTCCGCAGCGAGAAGTAAGCGAGGAGTAAACAAAGTGAGATCGACGCAAAGAGCTCCCAGCGTATGACACCTGCAAGAAATTCATGAGCTTCGATCATTGTCGCCTTCGAACACTTTTGGAGCTCCAGCTTCTCGTCCTCGCCGAGAGCCTCTCTAGGGATATCGATAAAATTACCGGGGGTGTTTGGATTATCGGACAGCTCGATCACTTTGATATCGAAAAATTCTTGCGCGGTGGAAGTTCTCTCCGCTAGTTGGCCCGACAGAGTCTTGTTTATGTCTCCGCTCATTTCGTCCCCCGAGTTGGAGATGGCTGAAACGGAGAGGAATTTTCTATTCGGTATTCCGATCTTTCAGCTCTCCGAGCAGCAGTCTCACATGGAAGTACCTGCGAGACGGATTCTGAAGAACTGCTCGGGATCCTGGGTGCAGTTTGGAGTGTTCCAGGGATTCGTACACCTGGCCCAGCGGGGTCTCGCATGGAATGAATTGAAGAAATAGAAGATTGACCACGCGAAAACTACCGCGTATATAGTCGACAGAAAGTATGAGATGACGACGCCAGCGACACCGATGCCTGAAGAGAATTCGGTTCAATCAGCATAAGATTATCAGGATTAGAATCTATCGATTATCGATATCAACGTCCTGCCCGGGAAGAATCCAGGGCTCTCGAGATCTCCTGAGTTTTGTGCTGTCCTTCATTTAATCAGGGATCCGGGATCGGGCGTTCGAAGCTATCCGAGCGCGCATCCCCCAGCTCGCTTGAGCTCCTCGGCGACCGACGTCGGGGTCGTGCCGTCAGGAAATCATTCCAGGACTCTAATTCGTTCAAACATGTTCGAGCCCCTTTCCTAAGACAGAGAGGCTCAAACATGTGTCGAATCTCGGAAGCATGCGGGCGCGGCATCGCCCCAACTACCGATCGACGCTCATATCTGTCGAGTGTTCAACCGATTCAGTTCGATCAGCTCGACTAATGGGATCCGCCCAGTTTCTGGCGACGACGCGCGGTTGCCCACTCAGGGCGCGCTCCGGGACGGATTTCGGGTGATGCTCTTCCATTCTGGTACAGGCCTCAGATTCTCGCCTCTATTGTATTATATGACTTCATAGAGGTTGCCTGGAGGCTGAGAACTTGCCTTGAACGAGTGGGGCGAGTTTCCCGATCGCCTGGATGGGTCCCGAGTGCGTCGCTCGACCTGCAGCCATTTCAATGCAGATCATCGGAACGCCCACGCAAATCAAGAGCATCAAATACGCCATGAGAAACGGACCTGGGACGAAATGCGATCACCGGCTCAGAAAAATTAGTGGAACACCATCAAAGAGGAAGTCCTTCGGGAGCATCTGAAACTTCTAAATCACCATAAAAGACCAGTCGGGAAGATCTGTACTCACCGCCTCCTTTTATGAAGCAGAAATAAGGGAATCTCCAGATGTTTGCGAGACCCAGGGCTTCCCTTGCGGAGCCCGCGGCGAGATCGAGGTAGTGACGGCAATTATCGTGTGATTTAGCCTTGGTTCGTGTTACATCAATCACGTAATCCTCTTCGTCCGACGAGCTTAGGGGGAAGTCTCTTTTTGATTCATAGAGCAATTCGACTTCGATAAGCTACTATTCGCGAGAGCTCTGGAAACTCGGGAAGCCGAACCAGAGAGATCATCGGAATTCGCGTCTGGATATAGGCGCTTGCATGAGCGATCTTTTGCGAGATCAGCTTCTCTAATAAGGATTTTCTCCCCGAGAGATCACCGACGAGCCGTGAAGGGCAATCTTTTCGTACCGAATTCGCTTCGTCAAACGCTCCTTTTGATTCCCGCGCTGTCCGGAGACAATTTGGCTGAGACGCAAGACTCGCCCACGGCTTCCCGGGAATCGCCGAGCTCGTGGCAGTACAATCGATTACGCCGAGCTCCGCGGACGTCAAAAGTCTGGTAATTTTGTCTTTAGCCCCCCTATCGACCGTACAAAGTATGAGCTTGGGTGAACGAAATTCGAAAAGGGAGCACGATTCTCATCGTCGATGTCTCCGCGGCTCCCATCAAGGTCTCCGCTCTCCCGTGAAAGCGTTCATCTTTACCACGGAGATCTAATCGCGAGTCTTCGCGAATAGCATCCTCTTGTTCGCTCACTCGAATCCAATAAATTTCTAATGGCATGCCGCCGATAGAATGATTTCCGCTTGAGATAACTGATGTTGGTTTTAAGAAAATATCGAGCCTAGCGGCTGCCGGAGTCTGAACTACGGTGGCCGACGCCGAATGAATCAACCATCGAGCTTTGTTCCTCTGCTCGACATTTCCTCGGAGACAATCTGAGATCTCGTCAAACAATCGAGAATGATCAAGAAAGAGGCGGGAGATGTCTGCTATCGGGTAGTAAAGTCGATCATAACGAATTCTGAAGCTCCATGAAACATTGACACAGCGCCGGCTTTACAGCTCTTTTGGAAGAATCTGAATTATACAACGTGAAACTGCCGCTGGACAATAGGGACCTCCTGCGAATACTATCGAAGCGTAGCACGGAGTCATTGAGAGAAATCAGCCACCTACAATCAATGTGTTCCTCATAGCTCGGAATCTCGGTCTCGGAGAGCGGGCGGCCGTGGCACGGTCGGGATGTCAGGCGCTACCCGACTCTGAGGTGGGTATTCCGGGCTGGTCTTGGAAAATTGTGCGGCTTGCCAATATATCGGCTAAGAAAAAGGATTTCCGGTCTCTCACTCACTAGTGAAATTTTCCGGCTCCAAAGGTCGGGAGGCGTTCTAATAGGGATGAGAATTGGAATCATCATTCTCGCAGAAACCCTTAAGCATGAGCGTATGTTTATACTCATCGGGCTCGTTCATCATCCCTTGAATGTTTCGGGTATCGGAACCAGACGCCTAAGTCCTGCCTTCTCCGCTACTCCCCCGGGAGGCTGATTTGATTTCGACTAGCTTCGATATCACGGTGTCTAATGGCTGGTCATATTGGCTTTTCGAACAACCAGTCAGGGACCAATCATGAAATGGGAATTAGGTTGATCTCTCGCCGCGCCGGCGCCGTTCTGATCTTCTCCTCAGTGTATCATTCTCTCTCGCTAAAGCGATTGCCTTAATTTTTACCTGTAGTATTCTTGATCTGTGCCTTTCGTCATGTGTTTTGGACGGAGCTCAGGGACCGATCTCGACTTCCGGCGCTTTGTGTGCCCGATGGTGAGGGCGTCTCCATCATTTTCAACGAACGAAAATGATCGAGCCAGATACCGCGCGGCTTCTTCCATTCCCTGGGGGAAAGAAGAGATCAGACTTCAGGAGGAAAGCGATATTTGCGCGACGAGGTTCCGATTCACGTCACTATGGGAATCTTCGATGGATAAACAGCAGCGTTCTGCACACCTTTTTCGAGATTGTGGGGGCAGCCACGACCGGAGCCGGACTTGGATAGTGGCTCACCGATGGGGCCCCAGGACTCATCGAGATCGGCGGAGGTGGAATCGTTGAGAACAGAGGCACAGGCTCCTGAGGACTGCTGGGGGAAACCGCTATACTGGGTATGAGTCCTGCCGGAGTCTGCACCAAGACATACGGGGCCGTGACAGCGCTGTGCTGCCGATCGAACGAGTAGATGCTCGGAGCGATCGGTGGGGACGACACCAAGGGGATTCCGGCCTGGATCCCATCGGATCCTGGCTGAATATTCATCAGGCTTCGTATCGATGGTCACTCGGCATCTAACGAAAACACTTGTCGCTCGTAATCATACTGTGTGGTGTAAACGTTGCAGCTGTTCCTCCACCGATTCTTGATTGACAGAATCCGCTTGTCACTCAATTGGGATGGCATTCAGTTAAGAGCAGCATCGAGTCGTCTCTCTTCGGAAGAAGAGCTCGATCATGTTTTGCGCTGGCAACGAGAGACCGCCGTCGGAGAGGAACAGCGGGAAAGGACGCCGTCCGCATGGTCTTACAAGGACCGCCGCGCCGGCCGTCGAGTCGTGGCAGTGGGCAAACCGAGTGGTTGAAGAAGAATCCGTGTAGCTGTGGAGGCTACACCGCAGATGAGTCCGCATGACGCCGGTGTCCCTTTCGTCTCGTTGTATCGCGTCGATGATGCGAGATCAAGAACCGTTTGAACGAGACATTCAATCGATGCTGCTGTTCTCTCGAGTGTTTATGATCACTCTTAATAGCCGCCAGCCTTGCCTCCGCTGGAGTCTGAGCGTTCCCGACGTCGGTCGTTCCATGCCATCGGCCTCCGTTTGGCTCGATGTTATCGCTCTTAGTACATGACAGTCCCCGCTGATCTTGCCCTTGAGTCTGCCATGTGAATTGTATCGTCTTTAAGCCGATTCGCTTGCGGAACTGGTTCCGATTGGATTGTGTACCTTGGAGACTCCACGGCGAAACCTTGACGCGAGTATCGACGACCTAATGGATAAATATCGATAGGAGCACTTGGGAAGAATTGAGCCGACGGTCCAGCCTTCAAATAACCCTCTGAGAGGCAGGATGGATGGACGAGTGAAGACTCTGCGGTCAAGATCAAAAGTAAGCGTCGAGGATTGGATGCTTAGATTCATAACAGAGGTATATCCGGGGAGAAGCATGGACACGGGTGTGTCGAGATGATGATCACACTGACTGAGAGAAGCGAAATCCCCGCGTCGCTTGCCCCACGCTAGTAGCACCTATACGTAGCTCTAATCCTTCTCGATTCACGCGAACCATAATATTCCAAGCTCTTTCCATTGATAGACGATAGACGAAGAGTCGGTTCACCGTCCGTTCCTTGTCTCGCTCGGATTGACGCTGCCGCTCGCCTTCGCTCCCTCTCATTAGGCGAGGCTTGGAGCACGTCGGACGAACGCCTCCGTTTTTCCGCAAGCTCTTGCATCGTCTATTGTCTTGGGGACGCCCCTCAAAAATACCGATTGAGCGCTCTTATCGGACACCCATGCGAAAATCCGTAGAGATTTGAGTTTACTCTTCACACGGTTGTCGTCGAAGTAAGGTCGGAGCTCCTCGGAAATCCTCGAAGATCTAATTTCTGACGGCCCCCTATGTCCGCAGTAGTGATTCGTCAATCGGATCTGGAGTGCGGAGTACTTTTTCGAATGAGGCAGAGAACCTCGAATTCTTCAAGTGCATCCCCAGAGCGAGTCAAAGGAGTCCCGGGTTGCCTCCGATTGACCTGTCGGGTGGTAGCAGGACCTGGAACTCAAAATCGAACTTTCCTCAGAAGTTCAGACCTGTGTGCGCTCAGTTTCACGGAGCAGCATTGATTTGAAGTCAATCGTGGTGGTGGACGTCGAACCTGGAGTTTGAGCTATACGGGTCCGCCCCGAGATCGATCGGGAGAAATTCTCTCCTTCTCCATCCGTCTCCATCATCAGGGAGATTATGAGCCGGAGGGACTCAGGGAATCCCGGAGTCGAGTCGTACTCCATCCCCATTTCTCATTACCGTCCGGGTCCTTGGGCTGTATGTTTGTGGGGTCACCGGGATCCTCCAGCCTGGAGTAGAACGTAGGTTCTGGGAGAACCTGCGACTAGACCTGAAAGTTTTCGCTCCTGATTTCGGACTCGGACGCATCCCTGCGGAACAACGACGTTTGAGGGACATGCTTTCAACAGGTTCCAGATTCGAAGACTACACCTCTCAGCCTGGGGAGGTTGAGTTTACAGCAACAACCTCCGATGCCTCCGACGAGCCCGGACTCTTCAGCTACCGCAGTAAGGACCACAGACTTTGACTGCGCTGTAGCGGAGACGCCACGAAAATATCGTATCTCGAATATACCGTCTCACTGTGAGTTGATTTCGAAGCCACGACCCTCGGGCGGCCCACAGGAGCGGTCGATGATCCTCCCGAGTCCGAGAGTGACGATAAGAACACAATCGGAATTTGCATCTTCACAATCGCGGCACTATTGGTGGTTGTTTTTTCGGCGACCCACTTCATCCTGGACACATCCACAGAAGCCACCACCACCACTACCACCACCACCACCAGAACCTCCCCCACTCTCCCCCTTAAAAGCACATCCATCACGATCAGATCTTCGACGCGCAGACGTCCTGCGCGAACTTCTACGGGTATGAACCGCTCGCTTTCCCGCTGACGAATTCCTTTTATCAATTCGGAGTTCGAACGTACAATCCGATCATGGGATCTTCACTCCCGGAGATCGTCATCAGGTCGAAAACCTTCATCTTACAGAGGGTGAGGTCGAGATCGAGGATGAGAACAACGATGAACCAGGTGATGACGTCATCGATATAGGGTATTTGAATTCGAAATGTCCCTGATCTCTGTTCAAATCTCGACTGGAGTGATAAAATCTCCCATTGCAGACTCAATTCAGACTGAATTGGAAGAACAATTGCTAGAGATGATTAAAGATACTTTCTCCAGAGTGGAGAAACAGTATTTCGAAAGTCGCGACGTGTATTGGAACGCTAAGTACCGAGACATATTGTGGAAGTCGGTGAAAGTGTACAACATGCGTCTGCTGATGGACAGGGACGCTGCTCTGGTACTGCAACCGAATTCAACTAAGTTGTTCGTCGATGGTGAGACGTGGATAGCTCAACGCAGGTCTCTCCAAGCGTGTCTGTGGTATCACTGAGGAGGAAGATCTCACTCGCTCCTTTCTTCATTCCACAGAGAACATGCCGATAGCTGAATGCATTCTTCTCCTTGAAAACGCATTCTTCCATGGCGGATACAAAACATGGGTGATGTATGATGAGATCGATTGCTGGTACGAACCTCCAGTGCGAATCCAAGCGACTTTGATGTTCCCACGGGGTACGATGGGAAAGCTGGTCATTTATAGTTTACAAGTGAGCTCTTCCGTCTCTTCCAAGTTCGCTATGCGTTCTCAATATCCGACACCGTCGAATTGGTTCCGCCCCGAACCTGTGAAACATCGGGCCCATCTTCAGAGCTCGCGCCCGCACCTCTGACTCTCCATGCCGTATGCGAACGGTGATCACTTCACATCTAATGACCGTGCGCATTTCAATCGCTTGCAGCTACTGCCACTGCCGGAAGCGACGTGTGGGGGTATTCCTTGGAGATGGCAGCCATGGCTACCATCAAGAGCCTATGTAGAATCGGAAGTCAAAAGAGTTTTCGGGCTTTATATGACAGCTTACGTGCATGAAATCGTTTTTCCACTAATAAAAAGCTTCTCGTGATCTAATTTCGTTGGGAATGCCCATTGGTATTTCGGAGCAGAGAGCGCCGGACTCTTCGCGCAAGATCATGCGAATGTTGAGGTCCCTTCCTGCTCCGTGGGGATATTCCCCGCTTTCCGCTCCACACGGGCTTGTCATTATTCCCGTTTTCCTCCGAGCTGGATATTCGGACATTGGGAGTTTTTGAACTCGAGAATACGACCTCGGAAATTCTCATAGGACTCTGTGGCAGACCACCTACACGTGGATCCTCCTGGATCCATACCGCATTAAGAGTGGACTAGCTGGCGATGAATCACGACGCATCTCGCTGAATTACCCTGATCTGCTTCAGAAGGCTTGCTACAATGAGTCCACCTTAGGAAGAGGCCACGACGAAATCTTGCTATGAAGTATGGGCCGCAGGGACTCTGTAATCGGGGGTCCTCGCTTGGTGACGTCCCTGGGGTGGGTGGCGCCAAGGGTGGGAGACGAGGATGCCCCCCCCCGCGCCCTCTCTCCTGAACTTCCCAATCTTTAAACCGCCTCAAAATCGAGCCTCATTCCCGATCGCTAAGGCGTTAGTCTTATTCTTCGCTTACTTTTTCCATCCCGCGAGACAAGTAATCCCCCAAAACTGCGTACTCTTTCCTCCCTTCCATCTAAACTTATGAGCAGGAATCTTCCGAGCTACGCCAATGCGTCCTCGAGCCGCGCGACCGGAGCTATCACACGAGTTCAGATCTCTTGCTCGGGAAATTCCTTAGTGCCATTACAGAAACTCTCACAGCTTTCAATTCTGAAGGCGACCGTGAGGGGTATCCTCACCATGATGGGAACATTGGGGATACCATCTCTTGAGTTAGGTTTCACGATTGATCACAGGAGCTCTGGAAATTCTGACATGCAAGCTCTGTCGTGTTCTTGGATCTTGACGCGGGGATTATGGCCCTATTCCCTCCACGAAGAGTTCGGAATGGAATATTGAGCCATGGAGACCGGACTGCGACGGACACCTGCTAAGCGGGAAGCGTAATCCCTCGCTCTTGATCCCGGAACAACGACGTTAGATGGACTTCCTACCAACGGTTTCCGAACTCGAAGAGTACACCACTCAAAGTGAGGGAGTTGAGTTTACGGGAACAACCTCATTCGCGTCTGACGAGCCAGAACTATTCAGCCGCCGCAGTAAGGGGACAATCTTCGATTGCGCTGCATTTAGCTGTAGCTAATACAACATCATTCCCGATTATGTCCTTTCATAGTCGAACTATTTTGGAGCCACCAGTGCGTACGATGATCCACCCAGACCCAGAAGAGTAAAAAAAAAAAAGGCACGCGTAAATTACGTCTCCGGAATCGCCCTTGTTTTGGTGGTTGCTTTTTCGGCGATTTACATCATGAAGAAATACAAGGAAGGGAAGCAGGAATCTGAAATCTATCCATCCACATCGACGATGAGCACAAGCAGACGCTCTCCGCGGACTTCGACAGCGGGTACGGACGGACTGGTTCTTGCTCTCTCTTCGAAGGTACGCCAATGAGATTTCGGCCCCTCAAGATTGTGATCGGGTATTGAAGTTCGATTTTGCAGAGAAAGAGGTCGAGATCGAGGATGAGAACATTGATGAAGGTGATGATGATGGCTTCAGCGATGAAATGTATGCTTCATGAACATTGGAGATTACTCATGGAAGCTCGACTCGAGAGATGAAGAAGTTTTCCATCTCAGAACCACCACAGCCTGTATCGGAAGAAGAAGCGCTCATAAAGATCGGGGAATGCTTCTCTAGAATTGAGAGAGAATATCACGATAGCCGAGGCGTGTACTGGAATGATAATTACACAGACGTATTATGGAGCACCATGAGCGTTTACAACATGCGGCTTCATATGGATAAGGACGCTGCTTTGGTACTGCAGCAAAATTCAACTGTATTATCTGTCGGAGGTGAGATGGGGTTAGTTGCGGTTGGAATCTCTCCAGACAGGAACAATTGTTCAATTCGTATAGCAAAGAGTCTCACGCTTCTCAGGCAATAAGCCGATGGCCGAATGTACAGTTCTTCTGGAGAACACATTTTTCCACGGCGGGTACAAGACCTTCCTTCGGTACGATGAGATCGACTGCCGGTTCGACGCTCCGGTCAAACTCCAAGTGAATGTGACTCTGCCAGAGACATCCGAAGGTAACTTGACGTTAGCAAGCGTGCAAGTAAGTTTCCTCCGAGTGCTTCATTTCGATTCCTTCACATGCCCGAATCAGGGTGGATATTTGAGATGTTGGGCTTCTGTGAGCTCGCTACTGCTCGGCGACTTTTCACGACGCAAGCGCAAAAGAATCGTCTGTTGACCGTTATTCCGTCCGCCCCTCAATACAGTTACAGCCGTTGCCGGCCGCGACTTGTGAAGATATTCCTTGGAGATGGCAACCCTGGCTACCATCGCAAGAGGAAATCGATGCAGAAGTCAAACGAGTTTTTGGGGAGTACTTCACAGCGTACGTGAATGACATCATCATACCTCATATCGGAAAGTTTCTCTGGTGATCTTCTCCCAATCGGGATTCCCGGGAGAGCTCAGGCTGCGACGGAAGGAAGACTCGCAAGCTTCCCGCAATATTATGCAGAACACTTCAGCGAACATCCCTGAAGTTTTCTCTCATGTGCTCCCATAGGCATTATCTGTTCACCGAATCCATCATATGCTTCGCGCTCACACATTTTGCTCATCGTTGAGTGCTTATATTTGGAATGAGAGGTGGTTGTCATCGAAGATGGAGAAGATCGTTCAATTTTCCCTGACTCTCGATCATTGTCCATGATTGCTCGAGTAAACCCCTCGAATAGCCGGTCCTGAGAACAAGAAGGAATACTAGACGACTCCGCCTGAGAGTTTGTTGTGGAAGTGGCAAGAGTAATGGCAAGCAGACATATCACGATCATAATAAACGACGCACAGGCGTCAGTCGGTGTCTAGCATCTACTGCACGAGGCTGTGTCTTCACTCCGGGCCCCAATCATGACATGGTGGCAGCGGTAGACTCCAGAATACTCAACAAGTGCCCACGCGAACTTGACACGAAAAGTTGGACCCCTCGAAACTTAGGATGGAAAAGCTCGATATCATCAAAGACATCGCCGTTAAGAACAAATCGGCGGAGGAGTGGCGAAGATTCAAGGACCTCTTCGAAACCTACTTGATAGCAACAGAAAAATCAAACAAGGAAGAATCGGTGAAATTGGCTCTATTGAAGGTTCTCGGAGGAAGGATTGTGCTGGACGAATACAACAACTCGTTCAGGGAAACGCCGCCAAGAACGCTTAAGGAAGCACTCGAAACGCTTGAGAAAAAATTCAACGCGGGAGAGTCTGAGCATTACCTAGCTCATGTGTTCTGGACGAGAGCCCAGTTGCAGTCGGAAACAATCGATGAATGGCTGATTGACCTGAGAAAAAAAGCGCAGCCCTGCAAGTTCAAAGAGGAGGATAGGATGCTGAGAGACAAGATCGTGGCTGGAGTCGCCTGCAGCTTAACCAGGCGGGAGCTACTCAAGCAGAAACAGTTGACGCTCCAGGAAACCATAGATATTTGTCTCGCGATGGAGAATTCGGCTACCCAATTGAGGAGCTTCCAAATGGCGGGAGCGCCGAGAACAGAGCGGACGATCGAGGAGGACGGTTCCGCCGCCCCCGAAGCAGACACATTTGTGTTAACGGAGAGACGTCCACGATTTAACGGACGCGGCGGCCCGAAGAGATATCAAAACAATAACAGCTGGCAGAGTCGCAATCAGGCGAGCCAGGGGTATGGCCCCCAAATCCGGTGTCGGCACTGCGCGAAGGGTCATCGTCCGGGGGACGCGAATTGCCCAGCCAGAGGGAAGCAGTGTGCGGTCTGCGGGAAGTTCAACCACTTTGCGGCGGTGTGCTCAAAACGCCAACAGAGAGTGGAGACGATTGACGATGATCAGGCGAATGCGGAGTCGACAGACGAAGAGCTGCAACTCATATATGCGGTGCGCTCCGAACGGAGCCGAATGATCTACATGAAATGTGCGGTCCGGGAAAATAACGGAAGAGTGACCCGATTCCAGATCGACAGTGGAGCGAGTTGCAACGTCGTACCGATATCGCAAGTCCCGCAAGCTCGACTCAATACAACGATCAGACCAACACTGCGAGTCTACGACAAAAAGACGTTACGCTCGCTGGGGAAGACGAAGATAACGCTGACACAGCTGAAGACCGGCAAGAAACACGAGGTGGAGTTCGTAGTAGTTCGGGAGGAACTCCAGCCGATCTTGGGGCGATTCACGTCGGAAAAATTGGGCATCTTGAGCGTTGATTACAGCCAGATAGATTCCGTGACAGAGCACATGAGCGGAGCCGGAAAAGAGAGCGACAGCGAAAAGAAGATCAGGCAACTCGTGCGACTATATCCGGGAGTGTTCGACGGGGAGCTGGGAATGTTCCCGGGCGAGGTCAGGCTAGCGGTCAAGCCGCACGCCGTGCCATCGTGCAACGTTTCGTGCTCGGTGCCACCCCATCTGCGAAGCCAGCTGAAACAGAAGCTGGAGCAGCTGATCAAACGTGAGGTCATTGAAAGAGTCGATCATCCTACGCAATGGGTGAATCGCCTCTCGTTACAGGTGAAAAAAAATGGCGATCTCCGGATATGCCTCGACCCGAGAAAACTGAACGAAGTTCTAATAAGGGAGGTGTTCCATACGCCGGCGTTTGACGAAATCCTTCCGAACCTGAGCAAGGTGAAGCTGTTTTCAAAGTTTGATTTGTCCGATGGGTTCTGGCATTGCAAAATGGACAAAGAGAGCAGCCAACTAACCACCTTCCAGACGCCGTTTGGCCGTTTTCGTTTCCTCAGGATGCCATTCGGGCTAAGTGTCGCGCCGGAAATATTTTACAAGAACCTGGTACACCTGCTGGAGGGCTTGGAGGGCACCCACGCCCTGGCGGACGACGTCCTGGTATGCGGACGCGGAGAGACGCTAGAAGAGGCCGAACGAGACCATGACAGAAACTTGAGCCGATTCCTCCGACGCTGCCAAGAAAAGGGCATCAAGCTAAACAAAGAGAAGACAACGCTGAAAACTCCGGACACAAAATTCTTCGGGTTCATCCTCACGGAACGCGGTCTTCAAATCGACCCGGAGAAGCAGAAGCGACTAGCACACATGAGAGCACCGAGAGACGTGGTAGGCCTCAAGAGTTTCCTCGGGATGCTGGCTCACATATCAAGATTCTTACCTGATCTAGCACAAGTGCTTGGCCCGCTGCGGGAACTGTGCAGATCGGGGCGAGAATGGGAATGGGGAGCTCCACAGAAGGACGCTTTCGAAAGGGCGACGACGATGGTTAGCCGGAGCCCAATCCTGGCGTTCTTTGATGTGGAAAAAGAAGTAGAGATAGAGTGTGATGCCAGCAAGGACGGGCTGGGGGCGGCCCTGATCCAGGAGGGCCGACCCGTGTACTTCGCCAGCAGAGCGATGAGCCCGACAGAAACCAGGTATGCACAGATAGAGAAGGAACTTCTCGCCATCAAGTACGCCGTTAATCGGTTTCGATACTTCATATATCCGAAGTTGGTAACAGTGTATACCGATCACAGACCGCTCATAAACATTGTGAAGAAACCTCTGGACGACGTTCCCCTTCGACTCCAACGAATGCTGCTGGATATTCAGCGATACAACGCGAAACTTGTTTATAGGCCCGGTCGCGAAATGAAATTCGCCGATGCTCTTTCTCGATGTCCAATGGAGGCAAGTCCCCGGATCCAAGAGGAAATCAGGATCGTGCGACTTCTGCCGATGAGAGATCTCACAGTCGAGCTCCTTCGCGAACAAGCGAGAGAGAGCGAAGAATACAGACAACTCATAGAAACCGTGCGCCAGGGATGGCCAGAGTCGAAAAGGAAGTTAAAACCAGCAGTCGCTGAGCTCTACGCCTACAGGGCACGCCTGACAGTCGAAGATGACCTAGTCCTATGTGGAGACACGATTGTGGTGCCTCGGAATCTGAGGAAAGAGTTCATCAGAAGATCATGTTATGCGCATATGTCGGCGGCAGCTACGTGGCAGAGAGCGAGATCGTGCATCTTTTGGCCGCGTATGAAGCAGGACATCGAACAACACATTCTACAGTGCCCTGGATGCCAAACGTATCCGAACGCCCCCAAGAAGGAGCCCATGGTCCCTCACGAGATCCCTACGAGACCGTGGCAAAAAGTGGGGCTCGACATCGCAGCATTAAAAAATCAGAAAATCCTCGTAGTGGTCGATTACTACTCCAATCTGGTAATCGCCATGCCATTGCCAGACCGGCCCACATCAACGAGCATAGTACGCAGAATCAAGCAGCTCTTCATGATGTTCGGACTCTGTGAAGTTATGATGACGGATGCGGACCCGTTGTTCCGATCAACGGAGTTTCTACAATTTGTTCGAGAGTGGAACTTCCGTCATGACATGTCGTCACCACACTACCATCAGAGTCACGGAAAGGCAGAGGCTGCAGTAGCCATCATAAAGCGCATCATCCGTCGGGCCGGGGCGGCAAAAGAAGAATGGGAGCGGGGAGTGATTGCATACAACGACACGCCGCAGGAGAAACTAGGGGGAGCCACACCGAGTCAAATGTTTCACTCACGCAGGTTCAAGACAGATCTACCGGTCCGACCGCGCTTGTTGCAACCGGAGATCAAAACACACCGATACGCGATCAGGGCAAGACGCCAGCACCTTGAAAGGATGAAGAGATCATACGATAGGGGGGCGAACGAGCTGATGCCGCTGCGATGCGGAGAGGCTGTGCGCGTTCGCCCAACCAGGCTGGGAGTGACGGAGTGGACCCATGGTCGGGTTCTGAAGGCACTTCCACATCGAAGGTACTTGGTCCAGCTGGACAATGGCGTAACTTGTTATCGTAACAGACGACACTTAGTTAAAGAATCTCAGACGGAGCAACAAACAGATGCGCCGATTCAGTCGGAAATGGTAGAGAGGAAGAAAGACAACAGTCAATCACTTGTGACGTTCTGGGACTTGATAGAGCCAGGAACGGATTCACCCAACTCTCGGTCGGAGGGAGAAACCTTCAAGGCCCAACAGGACAGCGACCAGCATGATCCCCGAGTCGAGGAGACTTCCACGGAGGGAAGCTCGGAAGTAACAACGACCGCCGAACAGGAACCCAAGCGGCGACACGCGGAGACTGAAGAGCTAACGGCGAATGAGGGCACAGAGGTGGCTGAATCCGACGCGGGGAAAGGGCGACAACTCCGTGATCGGAGTGCCCTGCAGAAACCGCAAAGATACCAAGCGACAGGTTCCAAAGACTGCATTCAATCTTGAGAGAATCAATCATTGTACAGCGTTCGGAAGAAAGAATCCTAATGATCTTAAATTAATAAGAAAAGGGAGATGTTGTGGAAGTGGCAAGAGTAATGGCAAGCAGACATATCACGATCATAATAAACGACGCACAGGCGTCAGTCGGTGTCTAGCATCTACTGCACGAGGCTGTGTCTTCACTCCGGGCCCCAATCATGACAGAGTTTCATAAATGCTGTCGTTCGATGAGATGCTTGCGTTTCCGGATGTCAGTGGGTCCGCCGGAAAATAAACATCGAGTGCTTCGCAATCATCTACAGCAGGGCTTCCCAACCGGGGGTCCCGGGACCCCTTAGGGGTCCCGACACCCGTCTCAGGGGGTCCCGGAAACGTCGGATGATTATCCTATGAGGTTTTACATAGGGAAGTATTCTCGGAAGTATTCTCGGAGTTCTTGGAGGAGACCTTGCCAGTCATGCCGCGAGATTTGTTGTCTGGGTCAGTCAAGCCTCCAAAACTGAGCGATCTGAAAAGGCATATGGACCGCGCAATGAGGAATCCGCTCCTCGCCGCCGATATGGGAGCCTTAGGCGACGGAATATCGTTCCCTCATTCCGACGCTTGAAACGATGTTGACGGGAACAATGCCAGGGAAAATCCAGCTGCTTGAAGTCGAACCTCGGAATCCTTCGAGCTATTCTGTCATTCGCTTCGCATCCCGCGACCTTACGAGTTCACAAGTGTCTCAAACCTTCGGAGAATACCGTAACCCTCGCGAGAAGGTTCCTCAGTTCCAGGAAGCCGTTCAAATAAATTAGAAATCCTCGAGTTGGAGATCTGCTATCAGAGCTGCTTCATCCAATGAAGGTCATCGATTCACTCTTTGTGGTTCCAAGGTCTCCGGTGTTGCTTCTTGTCCAGCTCACCGAGCAATTGGAAACTCTTTGAGTGAACTGAACACAGAAGAGACAATGTCGACGAAAAGGAATTGGAGTGATGACTACGTACGATTTGGTTCCACTTTGGTGATGGGTAAAGACTTGTTACCGAAGGCTCAATGCATTCTCTGCAGCACCGTTTTTGCGAACACGAGTTTGAAGCCTTCGATGCTCGAACCCCTTTTTCTCAAGCACGGAGGAGAGAAATCTGAAGGCAACGATTTGGAATCGCCCGAGAACAGGTCGCGTTTGAACGCGGATGCGGACTTACGGATAGCCTTGAGCAATACGGAGCCTCGAATCACCAAGATTGTGGATTCGAAACAGCAGCAGAAAAGTCATTGACATCCGCATTTATACATGATCGTAACTTTAATTCGAATAAATGCGAATCGTGACATACGGCGGAGAACCGTAAAGCATACCAATATGTATTTTGTCGTATAACTTTCGACACTTCATCGCACGGGGTCCCGAAGTCGGTCTCATGATTCGGAGGGGGTGCCGAGAGAAAAAAAGGTCGGGAACCCCTGATCTACAGATTGCATACTTCCCGCAGAGTGATTTCTCTGAAAGTCTCCTGCATCATGATCGATAATAATCATTATGCGGATCTTGTACGATTTGCTGTCGAACTTTGAGCGAAATGTCTCATCAAGCTCGATAAGGAGAGATAAAATATGGAGTGGAAGAGTGGAGCATACCCCGGTAGCACGGAGGCCTCGCTGATGTCTGGATATCTGGATACCTGGTATCTGCGCAATGTACCCGATTGAAGCACTCTGTGAGGTGAGTCACATAGAGTGCCGCATATTCGTATTCGTGCGGATATATTCGATTTTTTCTTATGAATACGGATATGAACATATTTGTATTCATAGAATATTTGTGAATACGCCAATATTAATACGAATAACACTATAACCGATTGCTCACTTCTCAGGTGAGCCCTGAGCGCCAATTAGCCCCTCAGTCTTTGTAGCCTCATTATATTGTGGTAGTCTCATAGGTATGAATACGGGCGTATTCACAAAAATCTTATGAATACGAATATATTCGTAATCGTATTCACAAAAACTATCGTAAATATTTGTCTTCGTATTCACGAATACCAATATGCCCCACTCTTACGTGACGTAAGATGTCTTCGTATTCACGAATACGAATATGCCCCACTCTTACGTGACGCGATCATTGGGAGAATTGGTCATGACTCAGAAGCATAATTGAATGCAAGGAAATGGCGATCACCGCTGGTACCTTCACTCTTTTCAGACTAGAAATCCGAAAACACTTCGGCTCTCCGGGCCGGATGGATTCCGTGCCGCACGCGACGTACACGCTCCCAGTAGCTCGGGGCTCCGCTGGCCATCATGGGTGGCTCGACTTCAATAGGGAAGCAAAGAGAGCCCTTTTTTCCGGCTCCCAGGATGTAATCCCGTTCGCGGTCGGCACGTCGGCACCGAAAAGAATCACTGATAGCACATGAAATGCCGACCCGTCGCCGTTATCCCGGTCGCGAAGTTGGAAGAGAAGCGTGTCAATCTCTCGAGAATTGTGCTCGCGTCACTCCGGAGGTGCGTTCAGACTTGGGTTCAAATCAATAGTGCGACTTCAATAGCGGCGTTCTTCGAGCTTCAGATCTTGTGTCGCGCCCTAGTATGGATATTTTCCGCGTCTGATATGTGAAAAGAGGACCATTCCAGGGCCCGAGACGTCCGTTTCCAGGGGGGCCGAACCGCAGACCCGTTTCTTTCTGATTTCTGGAACCGCCCGCCCCTTGTCCTGAGATGGATAAGCCATCGTGTGGTCCACAGCGATGGAGGCTCAAATCAGCATGAGGGAGATCGTCGACGACCAGGCAAAGATTGGTTTCGTCTCGAGTTTTCTGCATGCCGACGGCATCCGCTGCCCTGGAGTCGAGGCAAGAGTCCTGCTCGCAGTCAGTCACCTCAAGCGCTTTGCCATCTCGTCCAGCTGCCGATCGGCGATGATATCCCCTCGGGCCTCCTAGACCGGATGTCGGGGTTGTACAGGTCAGATCCGAAACCTTCAAACAAACCGTCCTTCCGGTTCCGCTATCTTCAAGAACTGCCTCCGCTTGTACAAGACCAACTTACGGCAGGCGATCATCTACAACTCGGACACCTAGCAAAACCTGCCCTCCAGGTACCGGAGCTATACATATCAAGGCGCAGGCGATCCACGATGCAGAACGAAGAAGAAGTCGACGCCGGAAGATGACATCTTCGTTGATCGTTGCGCCGTCGTCTGAAAATCCAATCTCGATAAGGGAAGAACTTCAAAGAGCTCATTCGCCTCTCATCGGACGGAGAATCTGCGAGAGAGCGGCTGGCATAGCGACTCAAAATTGACTCATCGTGAAGTCCGCGTATATCGTGGACCAGGGAATTAAACTCCTCTGATATTTTCCAAATGAGCGGGCATCGCAGTATTCCAAGAAGAAGAGATATCATACCTTGTGCTTCCAGAGCCTTGGATAGGGAGGATATGGTCGGTGGGAGAATCAAATGTGAGCGGTCGGATTAAAAACCTCAGGGGGAAATAGTCGGAATCGGGCTTGAAAAGTCCCTTCACTCGATGATTCTCTCCCGTCCAGAATGAGGTATTCTGTCGAACACCCCAATCAATCAGATTTCCGTTCACACGAGACACACTCTGAGCTTGTCTTTATTCGTCAGAAGGCTCTCTCTCCATCAGGTGAGTCTAATGCTATTCGCTAATTGATTCCGAGAAAAGTAGTAATTGCGGATCGTTCCCATGACCCAAGGGACGTAAACGGCGGCTTCAGTATACACTCCCGGTTTCCCAGGTCGAGCACATCCTTCGCCCCAAGATACAATCCCCACCAGAGTCGGTATCCCATCGATGAACTGAACAGCTGGTCCCCCCGAGTCACCCTGCAATCGATCCGCGATAGAAATCTTTAAGAAGAATGTCACCGATACTTGCACTCACTGATCGGGCAAGGCACTCCATATAAGATCTCATAAACCTGGTCGGCACTGAAATCTCACACCCACCTGACAAGCATCCTTGCCACCTTCGGGGAGACCGGCACAAAACATCGTTTCCGCGTCGAATTTCGAGCCCATCAGGTGACTCCAGAAGCTCGAGTAATCATTGAGACATTCTCCTTTCGACACGTAGGGAACGGTCACGACGCGGAGTGCGGGCGACGCTCTCTTTCCTCCCTCTCTCGTGACACCCCAACCTGAGACAATGACGCCACCTGCCATGGGAAGCGAGGTCATAGTCAATGACGGAGAGCTTTGTTCCGAGGTGGAAGATCTGACTTCTCGATTACCTTTCATATTCTAATTGAAGAGCATACCCGTATATTTTTCGACTTCCAAGAACCTGCTTGTTTCTTACGCAGAGACTGCCCATCTTTTTCTCCCGTCCACAAAGAGAGACGAGTCCGATCGTTCCTACTAGGCGCGGGTATAGTACTTATCTACACAAACAAGCCGCGACGAGGGTAGCTGAACTCACACCCTCAGAAGTGCCCGCTCATTGGAGTCTGCCCGTAAATTAGAGACTGCCCGTACATCAGAGACTGCCCATCTCTTGGAATATTTACGGTAGTTGGTGCTTACCGCCGTTTATTCTGTAAGAGGGGTCGGGCAAACAGATCGTCGCGACGGAGTCGTCGAGCCGGAATCCTCTTGTCAGCTTAATCAGGCCAATATCACCCTTATGGGCTCTGAAGCCCATTCTGCCGAAGGATGCGGCGGGGATGCGCTCTTCGACCTGTAGCGGTGAGACTTTAGCGGTGGAGGCGAGCCATGCTGTCTGGAGGTCGGGGAGAGGATCACTGTGCGCGGACTGGGAGTGCCGCTTTAATCCACATCGAAACGTCACGTCGTGGTCGGCACACATCACGAATCACAATTCAATAAGTTGGTACCTCAGAGATTTGTTTGTGAGAGTCGCCCTCGAAAACGAATCCAACTTCAACGAGATACCGGGCGGGATCCTTCTGTTTGAGACAGTGAGCGGCCGTGAGAACCCATTCTTCGTGGATCAGCGACCCTCCGCAGATATGGTTACCATTGCGGCGTATTGAGACTTGCCATGGGAACTCGTTATTGTGAGCGGCTCGGCCTCCTTCCCGGAATGTAAGAATCTTTACTCGAATGATTTTGTGTTTCCAGATCCCCGGAATAAAACGGAGAGAATTTGGAGAATGCTTGCAAACATCTGCGATACAAGGGAGGAGCTTGGGAGGATTATACCGCTTTGTATTCCCTATTCCGATCCTTCACAAGTGTTTCTCGTCCCCTCCGTTTTACGACAAATGCCCCTTTTTCCCTTTGGAGCGAAATCCTTGTTCACCCAGCCACGAGAATCCGGTGAAGGAGCTCTGCATTTGTTCCAATTCCTAGTCCTTGGTGCCATTCGAAACTTTAACGGACATTGCTGTGAGAAAACGCGACTCACCGATCATCCGGGCCTTTCGAAGGTAGCTCCGCGCATCCACATCCTGGGAAGTGAGCAGACAGACGCTTCCGCTTGGCCGGCGCTCCCCGTCTTCGACATGCGAAAACAAACGGTCAACACAGATTCTTTCTCCGCCGGCCAGTTCCTAAGACACACAGCATGACCTACCCTGGGCTCTAGCAAGAGCACATATCCAAAGAATTGAGAGGAGTATCGGGAAAGTCATTCTCCTCAGCCGTGAAATGACAAGTCGGTCTGTGATACGGCGGCTGGGCTCGAGAAATGCTCTGTATACGTTGCGGAAATCGGAGAGCCCTCCTCGTGAACAAACGTAATCATCGTTTTTCGAAATTTGCGGTGACTTCCTCCAAAGTGAGTGTACGAAAACCGGAACATGATTTCAGAGATCGGAACGTGCCGAGACGAAGGCGGAAACGAAACTTCAAGGCCGAATAAATGGAGAAGGGTGGCCCGGTGGCGGGTCTCATTCCGTTTCAATCCGATCCGGAGCAGTGTCTGTCGAGCAAGGCGGACAGTGGGGACCACTTTCCCGAGATTCGTAGAGATCCGGATCAATGCGAATCAAGAACGATAATGAGAGTTCGATTCAAGAGAAACAGTTTCCAGCCAAAGAAAAATGATTGAGGAAAAACTGCTCCGAGCGTCATGTTTGCGTTCATGCTGGGGTGCCTAGCACCAATTTGGACAGGCTGCAGAATGCCTTGATCTCTGTAGAGGCAATGCTTGGGGTCCTCGTGTTTATGCGAATATCAGCCGCAGGGCGGATTAGACGAAAGCACGGAAATATATGCCAAGATGAATGTATACAGGGAACGAGCCGTCGTGATCCTAGAAGATCCCTGGGGATTTCTAGGCGTCGCGGGTCGTGGAATCGAAAACAAATTAGAAAATCAACAATTCTCTCGCCAGCCCGAAGCAAACGCATCTTACGATTCATTGCACCCGCAACAGCTATCTCATTTGGTGAGCGAGCTGCTGAAGCAGCGACAAGCGGGCCCGAAGCGATACCAAGAGCGGTCTGAGGTGCTGTTCCCTCCACAGGCTCCCTGGCACACCGTTTACTACAAAAATGCGGAAGCCATTTGCGTTGCTGCACTTGCAACGATCGCTTCCAAGACGATGAGTTGTCTGCTGAGCACAGTCTCGCCGGGTTGCTTGCAGAACCGACATGAATGCGGGCCCGCAATTAAAAGTGCGCGGACGCTGCGCTGCTCCGAGAGAAATCCAGTTCATGGTCGCGAGAAATCAGGTTCAATCCTGTACTGGATGCGGGTCGGTTTACCTCGGGAATCGGCATAGCTCAGCATTAAAACTTGCAGATAAGCCTCGGAGTTGAATGTCGGAGCCCGATTGAGGTCGGCACTTTCGAGGGAAAAAGCGCCCACTCAGAATCGTTCAGACTCCGATTCTACCTTGAGCGACGGATGGAGCGATAGCACCTCAATCGAGTGACTTCGTGCATAATGAATGATAAAGTCAGATATGTTCGAGTGGGATCCAGAAGTATCGGATTGACTCGAAACTCCGCCGCGCAGGGATTCGTGGACTCGAGAGGTCTCCACACAGCCGGGAGCTTGTGGTAATCATTAGGGCTGGGAATCCATCACGGGATTCACGGTCGCGCCGAAAGCCGTGAATTTCCCTTCTTCCTGAGATGCCGTGAATTTTTTTTTCACTCTTCTTCTAGATGTTTCCCGATTTCTAAGAGCTGTTTCCACGAGGAGATGAGGATTCCACTATCGGAAAAAGAACCTGGCGTTCGAGAGACGCCGAAAAAATGATCATCAGCACAATCGTATCACCTACCCGGCATTCTCAAGGTCGAGAATTCACGGTACCGTGAATTTTCGGAAAAAGTGCCGTGATGAATTCCCAGCCCTAGTAATCATGCTTGAATCCGACGAAGATCCAGGCTTGCTAAATTGACATCCGATAGAGATACCAAATTTATCTCTCCCTTCTTGGATTCAATGAAGATTCAGATTCACCGATTGCGGATCCGATGGACTGTGGGAAGATTCCGGAAGATGCCAAGCGTGGAGGTTGGAGCGAAGCCGGGTTGACACATGGGAACAGCGACGCTGGCTGGCCGTATTATATTCCCGAATTTTCTCGGATGGATCGCCTAATAAAAATTATCTTTCGAATAGAGGAAAAGGAATGTGTGCATCACCAGAGATGCAGATGAAATTCAAAGCATGCTGGAGATATCAATGAACCATCTGCTCAGAGCCTCTCTGATAATTTTTATGCATGCTCCTCGCTGGCTCATGAAATCTCAGGGGCTGTACGAAATATCAGCAAGTCCACCAAGTTATTTCATCGTCCTCCGAGGACCATTCATGAAGCTCGATGAGGGTTCAATGGAGCCGAAATTTTCAGCCGTGTATTCAATCAGACCATCATTCGCGATCCCTGCTCCAGGTCCTCGCTCCACGAGTCCCCCACTCCCAGCATGCATATCTACCCGAGCCCGGTGGTAGGGATAGCCCCTCCAGTTTATCCAGCCTCCGTCAATAGTCCTGCTGAGCCTCGGTCTGAACCCTCGATTTTACTGTCAGAAGAGAGCAGCCCCACGACAAAGCTCCCTACATTCCTGACTGCCATCGCCGTCAATTGTGAATTCTCGGTGTCCGGAAGGTGCGATCCGAACGACCCGGCCCGTTCCGGCTCGCTAGATGTCTGACGAATCGAGCTCACTATGGAAAACCCATCCGAAAGTCCACATCGAATCGATTGGCTTGATCGATTTCGATTAGGACCTCGACCACGGCCGTCGGACTTTTTCACTCTATTCGATGTTGCCTTAATTTCACAGACTCACGACCCGTACCGCACGACCGAGGCGTTCGGCGGAAATTACCCTCCTGAGCTCCCAAACTGGTCGACCCCCTGAAATCAAAGTGGAATAATAATAATCACATGGACTTAACATGCCGAATGTTGCCGGGAAGAAGTATACAAATATATCGTCCCAGAATAGAGCGAAGTCGACTTAAACGGATCACGAAGCAAAGGCGCTCCTTTCTTGATTGAATCAGCTGCCGCAGTTTCGTACGTCCGGCGCGGTGCACCGCTTGCACGGCTGGTCGGTAACTTGGCCCCCGCATAAAATGCCTTCGCGGGAGCTCCCGTGCTGGACCGTCTATCCTGAACCAAATACATCGTCGGCACACATGCATGGCGAGAGTGTCGTGAATTGCCGAGACTTGCAAGCACGCTGACCTTGCACCTGATCTTTCCTTGTGTTTTCATCTGGCCTGAATAAACAAGCCAAAGTCAGCGCGAAGAATCGACTATGCGTTGGCACAGCGCGGAGCTTCCCGTGTCGACTCATGGTGCGACTCGCGTTGGGGCGACGCTGCATATTCATCCATACGGCTTTGATTGACCGAATCATTTATTCAGCATTCGATCGCATGCCGTCATCCTCCACTTCGTCGAAAGGCGAGTCGGAGGGCGAGTCGATGGATGAACGCAATCACTCATAGTCAGTTTGGAACAATATTTCTTTATGAACTTCCCCCATTCGGCCGTTGAGCGACGGAACGCGGAGTGCACGAGAGCGGACCAGGAGTGAATTTTCCCCAAAATACGAAAGAGGAATTCCGCTTCGTTGGCCTACTCCGCTGAACTTTCGGTCCCTCATCGACGCTTGCAGGCCTCGCCTCCGGACCGCCGGGAAAGCGCGAGAGCAGCGTGCGAGCTATCGCGCCTCTAAAGTTTGTTCCCATGGGTCTCTGAGAATTCAGCCGTACAAAATGAAGATGGAGAACGAGTACTGTCGGGCTAACTTCAATTTTTCGCGGACAATTAATTCAGCTTCAGGTGAGTCGTAACGGTCCCGTATTCCCGGTGATGCTCGTGAGGATAATAAATGACAGCGTCGACAGCGAAGTGTCACGGCGAATACCAGCTCCTTGCACATCGTCAGAAGCAGCTGCTATGAGCTACGTGTTCCATCTCGTCCGAGCTTCAGGCGGTTGCCCAGGTACAAGGCCGTACCGACTTTCCGACGGAGGAGCATACCCGCTCGTCTGCGGCAGCTAGTGGAACGGGCTCCGGACAAGCGTCCGTATTTGTTCGAGCAATGATGCGATTAGCAGCCGGGAATCAGTCAGGAACAAACCATTACGCCGCAGTCGATGGAGAAGAGGTACCCCAGGAGAGTCAGGGGGAGCCGAAAGAACGAGGAACGACGGATGTCACAACAACAACAACAACAACGATAGCGTCGACGGAGAAAGAGAGGGAGCGCTTCGACGGCGCGACGCGGAGTGATATCCGTAGCACGCAGCAGCGTTATCGCATCGGAGTATGGAACGAGCTTTGATGGATGAAGCATACATCACAGTTATGCGTCTCGTAGCCGCAACCGTTCACGATGAGCGCCGGTTAGTATTCCGGTCGTCGTCATCGCTGCCGAGCACCGCGTCTCGTGCGTTGAACAATTAAGTCGCGCCGCCGCTGCCGGTGCATGCACGTTGGCCGCATGCCCTCATTTCTAATTTGAGCTCTGCTTGTTAAGCCGCTGCCGCTTGGCCCACAGACGCGATGATCCGAGCCTCGGGACTATGCGCGGGCGCGGGATTAAGGGGATGGGCTCCCAACGTCCGACAACGTCTCCGAGCGGGAGAGCAACGCCAGCCTGGTACCAACAAAGTCTAAAAACTTGATGATTGTATTCTGATGAGATGCTTGGTCGCCCCGGCCGGCGAGGAAGGATCGGCATTAGCAGCGGCTGTCCCTCGGACCACTGGCGGTCATAATCAAAGGGAACAACGGCGTTTGAGGGTAGGCGGAGGAGGATGAATGAACCTCACGATCGCGCAGCTGTGCGACACAGAGCCGAGGGTGGACAATGTTCTCGTACGGTCCCGGTCGACGTTCGCAATCTCGTGTGAGGCTCAGCAACACCGCGTGCCGATCCTGTGTTTACCCTACTTAAGGACAAGGAAAATATTGACGTGGTGGCTAAGTCATGGAGGAGCGAGCGAGCGTTATGAAGCTAAGTTTCACTAAGGAAACGGCGACCCGTGTTCTCCGAGGCCGGTGGATGCTAGAAAGTCACCGAGGAGATCTTGAGGGAGGGAACGGTCCTCGTATAGGATCCGTATGTCCCGTGGAGCTAACGGTTCCTCTCAGCCTTCTCGGGAAATGATGAGCGATGAGATTTTTGATGCAGCCATTTTTTGGGAGGGAAGCAGCAATTATCGGTGG